TTGCTTTGAGTTCCACATGTTCCTCAGTTGTAAATATGCTACTCTTGCTTTGCTGATCCGCGCCTTCACATCTGCATCAGATCCAACCTGTTCATCAATGATGCTGCCCAAATATGTAAAGGTTTTTACATCTTCCAAATCTTCTCCATCAATTGTGATTGGATTGGTGCATGCTGTGTTGTATCGGAGAATCTTGCTTTTCTCTTTGTGTATATTGAGACCTACTGCTGCTGAGGCTGCTGCCACACTGTTCGTCTTGTCCTGCATCTGTTGTTGCGTTTGGGATAGAAGGGTCAGATCATCTGCGAAGTCCAGATCGTCCAACTGCATCCTAGATGTCCATTGTATCCCGCGTTTCCCTTCAGACGTTGACGTCTTCATGATCCAGTCGATCACCAGGAGAAATAGAAAGGGTGAGAGTAAGCAACCTTGCCTAACACCGGTCTTCACTTCGAACGACTTTGTCAACTGTCCTCCATGCACGATTTTGCAGTGTAATCCATCATATGAGTTCTGTATGATATTGACTATCTTCTGAGGCACGCCGTAGTGTCGAAGAAGTTTCCATAGTGTTGTTCTGTCCACGCTATCAAATGCCTTTTCGTAGTCAATGAAGTTGATGTAGAGTGATGAATTCCATTCAATTGATTGTTCCACAATGATCCGTAGAGTTGCGATTTGGTCTGTACACGATCTATCCTTACGGAATCCTGCCTGTTGGTCACGAAGTTGGGCGTCTACGCAGTCCTTCATCCTGTTTAACAATACCCTGTTGAAGACTTTTCCCGGTATTGAGAGAAGAGTGATGCCCCTGTAGTTATCACACTTGCTGAGATCGCCTTTCTTCGGTATTTTGATCAGACGTCCTTCTTTCCAGTCTGTTGGTACTTGTTCTTCATCCCAAATCTTCCGGAAAAGAGTGTGGAGTATTCTTGCAGTTACTGCTACATCTGCTTTCAGTGTCTCTTCTGGAATGTTGTCTGGTCCTGCTGCTTTGCCACTCTTGATTTGTCTGATGGCTATGCTGATTTCTTCAGTTGTTGGTGGGCCAACACTGATTGGGAGGTCCGTGGGTGCTGCTTCGATGTTGGGTGGGTTCAGTGGAGCTGGTCGATTCAAGAGTTCTTTGAAGTGTTCTACCCACCTGTTTTGTTCCTCTTCAATGTTGGTGATTACCTCACCTTCCTTGCTTTTCACTGGTCGTTCTGGTTTGCGGCGATTTCCAGAGAGTTTCTTTGTCGTGTCATACAGTTGTCTCATGTTCCCTTCTCTTGCAGCCTTTTCCGCCGTCGTTGCTAAATCTTCCACATATTTACGTTTGTCGGTTCTGATGCTCCTCTTCACTTGTTTGTTTATTTCTGTGTATTCAGCTTGTGCCTTGGCTTTTTCTGCACTTGTTCGGCTGGTATTGATCGCTGCCTTCTTGTTCCTCCTTTCTAGAATCTTATCCAGTGTACCTACAGTGATCCATTCCTTGTGGTGGTGCTTCTTGTGACCCAGGACCTCATGACATGTTGAAGTGATTGCCTCTTTGATCCCCTTCCAGTTGCTCTCCACAGTAGTTCCTTCTCCATTGAGTAGATCATGAAAGGCCTGGAACTTGTTGCTGAGGACTATCTTGAATTTGTTGAGTTTGTTAGTATCCTGAAGAAAGGCCGTATTGAACTTTTGTGATGTTGTCCGCCCCATTGTCCAGTGCTTCTTGAGTTTCAATTTCATCTTGGCGACCAGTAAGTGATGATCTGATGCTATATCAGCTCCTCTCTTGGTTCTCACGTCCTCTATAGTCCTCCTGAACGTTTTGTTGACGCAAATATGGTCGATTTGGTTTTGTGTAGAGTGATCCGGTGAAGTCCATGTGGTTTTGTAAATGCGTTTATGTGGGAATATGGTGCCGCCTATGACCAGCTTATTGAAGGCACGTAGGTTTGCAAATCTCTCACCATTTTCGTTTCTTTCTCTCAGTCCGTGTTGTCCCATGATGTCTTCATATCCAGTGTTGTCCGTTCCAACCTTGGCGTTGAAATCTCCCATCAGAATGGTCAGGTCCTTTGTTGGGCACTTCTCGACTATTGACTGCAGCCTATTGTAGAATTGATCTTTAGCGTCTTCATTGTAGTCGTTGGCAGGCGCATAGCATTGGATGATGTTCATTGAAATGCCCTCTTTCTTTGTTTTAAACGAGGCTTTGATGGTCCATGGTCCATGAGATTCCCATCCTATAAGTGCATTTTGCGCTTGTTTGGACAGCATCTATGCAACTCCTTGTGTATGTGCTGCATTTTCTTCTTCATGGCCGGAGTATAACAGGAGCTCTCCTGTAGTTAGTCGTTGTTGTCCAACTTGTGTCCAATGTGTTTCACTGATCCCAAGTACCTCTAGGTTGTATCTTCTCATTTCTGCAGCAGTCTGGAAGGCTCTTCCGGTGTCCCACATTGTACGAACATTCCATGTACCTGAATAAATGGTTGCTCTGGTTGTCAGTAGGGGTGCTGGCCTCGTAACTTCCGAAGGGATTCGGCTTTCATCATGAGGCGTCATAATTCTTCTAAATGAAGATCTTCTGACTCCCAGGGCAGAGTTTAAAAGGTTTGAATAATTTTTTATGGTTAGCGTTTTTTTAGCGAGTTAGTTTTCTACGGGATGGGGACGCTAACCCCATGCCCAAGCCTCCTACTTTATCCGGCCTTGGGACCGGCAGTAGCCCCCGGAGGGACTCCAGGCGGAGTTTACTTCAATGGTAGTAATATATAAAAGAATGATTGCATATAAGGGTATAGTACAAGAAGAAAGGATTAGTTGGCAGAAAGAAAGGTACAATGTAATTTAAATCTCACGGTTTACTGGAAGACAAATTGAACACATGGAAGTGATTGCGACAACCACTGCATGGGCCAGTTAATGAAGGTCGATAAATTAATGAGCGTTGGTTTTCCTTTAACTTCAATTGGTTCAAATGGTTGTGGACGGAATAGAAGAAGCTTTCGCTTAACAGGCTTCCGTGCCTAGTAGCAGGGGATCACCAAATCCTCCAGGCAGCAACCTAGGTATGTTAACAATAAAACAGGAAAAGAAATTAGTAAATCATAGTGTGAAACTATCCTTAGTCCTTAAGAACAAATCAAGTTGCCTCTTAAAGGACTCCTGGGAAGTCGCTTGGATTAGCTCGGCCGACAGCGAATTCCAGCATTTGACAACTCTTAAGGAGTTGAAGTTGTGTCTACAGTCTGGTAGTTTTCCTCGACTTAGCGAGTATGAGGACATTACGCTAAGCGGCGTTGCCAGTATGGCGAAATGGACCATGTCCGGGCCAGGAGAAGTGTCTAGTCCTAAGTTCTGAAGTTTCCGGAACATCAAGTCAGCACTTAGGTTCACTTCGGAAAGTCCTGTGGAATTGCAAACGAAACTGTCAACAGTAAAGTTAATGTCGGTCGGTTGAAATGTCTGGGAGTAATGTTCAGCCAGAAGATTGGCGGCGTCGCCATCGTTGTTGGTCGGGCCGTTAAGACCTACCAGTTGGGAAACTCCAGTTTCGGCTTGACGAAGAGAGGCTGCATAATGGAATAAGCTTTTAGGATTGGAGGCAAATTTGTCCATAAGCTTTGTCTGGTACTGAAGTCTATTTTCTCTTATAGCCTTCGTGCATATATTCCTGATATGTTTGTATTGCCTTTACGCTCCGTCGTTGTCAGTTCGTTTGTATTCCGCCCAACAGTGCCTTTTGTGGCTTAGCAGGCGAAGGGTACGGTTATTGATTATTGTAGGTGGCTTGCAGCTTTTGGGAACCGTATGAGAAACTGAATGGTTTGTAGCACGTAAGAGCGTGTGCAGTAAGAAGTCCCAATGACCGTCCACATCGAGTTGAGGGTGAACATCCCAAACCACCTGCTGTAGATAGTCGTGTAGAGCTGGCACATTCAACCGTTTAAAATTCCAACGCAAGTTATTGGTGGGATATCTTATCTTAGTTTTACTGACAAAACTGAAGGCTATGACGGCATGATCGCTTTTTCCCAGAGGAGCCAGGATTAAGAGGTTGTCAACTAGAAATTCTTCGTTTGTGAATACACGGTCTAAGCGCGACGGTGTCTGACTGTTTCTCTAACGAGTTGCCGACCTCACATTTTCGTATAATCACAAGTCATCGATGAGGTTGAAGAACCGAGCTTCAATTGAGCTGTCGCCTCCAGTATACTTGTGTTCCGCGAAGTTGACTCTGGGGTGAATAAAGCCCCCTAGAATCAGGATGTGTGTGAAACCGAGACGAGTAGAGCGGGATAGTCCTTCCAGCATACGACTATCGTACTCGATGTCGGTAGTTGGCTTCCTGTAAATGACTCCGACTAGACACCTCGGAGTACTGGACAATCTTACAGAGCACCAAGGATAATTGACTTGTTCGACGTTCAGCGACCCGATTTCCAAATGATCTGGCTAGGGCCCAGTGACATTTCACTGGCCCTACAGTCGTGTTCTGAAGAAAGTTGAATAAATCGAGAGAACTCTGTTACCATGAACAACACAGACCATACAGCTTCCGGTCCTTTCAAAAGCGAAACTAAGGCTGGAATAGAAAGTAATCAGTTGTTGCTAGTTCTACATATCTAAAGGTAAATCCGAAATTATGACAGGAGGCAGGTGACTCCAAAAATATGGTATTCAGTTCAGGATATTGACGTATGACTAATCATGGTGACACTGGTAGGCACAAGCTACGTATATTTTTTGCCGGTATATTACAAAATTGTTGACGCGAGAGCCAATGAAGCGAGAAGGATGTGCAATTTAAGCTGCATGTGTAGTTATTGGACAATAATCAATACAACATAGGAAACGCTGCAGAAGAAAATCTAATACGACCTAAACAACACATCATGGTCAATAAAATTTCTTTACGAAATAAACGAAATTATGAGAACTCTAAATACTGACTAAAATACTATTTACAAATTGGGTTTTCATTAACGACACGATATTGAATATCTGGGGGAACGGTTTTTAAGCAACCTACGCTACTATGTATGTTAGTGAGATTTTTTTGGGGACTTGCTGAATGCATTTATTTCAATGTCTTTAGGGTTGCTATGTTTAAGAATTTATCAAACGTTCAGTCTAGTTGTACCACTGTGGTATAAGTAAGGTTTCAAGGGAATTTTATTGTTTGCGAGCCTGGTCTTGGTGCATATCATACTAGCTAGTTTGAGTAGTAAACTGCTTTATTATTCACGTATTCGTATTTAGTTCAAAATTATGCTGGTCAGAACACACAAAGAGTAGAATGAGTAGCTTTATCAATTTCAACAGAATGGGACGCTGGGGATACGAACCTATATTGTATTAAAGTTTAGTCTAAACCCCGCTTTTCTACAAACAATTGTCGGTATAGATATGGCAGAAACTAGTTCGAAAGAAAATGTTGACGTACGTAATTCTGAATAAGGCAGATATAGCAATATTGCTTCATTATTATATATTGTCTCACGACTGTGTCTGAAAATTCGATTGCATTCCTTTAGGTATTTCTGTCTAGTTCAGTCTGTCAACAACTGACTAGATAGATATCTCTACTGTTTACAAACTTATTTTGCCTCGGCTTCACGAAACTGCGTGACTAGTTTTTAGGTGGAAGATAAGAATTCGGTGAGCAATTATTTTTCGAAAAAATCGACTGTGGTTGCACAGCAGATGGAATGCTTCTGCATCTCCATATGAGAGGTCACTGATGTGGCGTATGCACTACATAACTTTGCGGGCAGGCCTATCAAGGAGATTACTCGAGGCGAACTCTGATAAATTTTGTTTCTTCCAAAGCTAGAAGTTTGATAGATTATATTTTCTTCATAAGGTGGTCACGTGGAACGTTTCCAATCATTTTTGTTTCGGGAATTCAGGTTTCCGTTCCATCGTATGAAGGATTTTATCTGCGGTTGATGGTTTGAAGTAGGACACTATCGTTTGTTTTTGTCCATTGGTTTGCAAATTGTTTGGTTAGCACACTCGGTCTAGCGGTACTGATTAGTTTGGCTTCTTATCTCACCATTCTGTCCATCCTGTAAGATACCAAAGTGTTTGGGCCTATATAAGCACTCAGAATTGACAAGGGAGTTATATAGTCGAGAAAAAAAATCAAAGATGGGCTCGTTATTTTCTCGGAAGTTAGTTGTTTCATTTCTCTAAGTCGTACTAGGTTATATGGTCCCTTGGAACAGAGATAAGTCTGTCAATGTGACTTTTTTCGTGTTTAGACCTTGATCACTATGTAGGTGTGTCTGACAGTATATTATTTTATTTATTTATTTGGACACATGAATATTGGTACAAGAGAGCGCCAATATATATGCGCCACACAGAACAATGAATATTCGAAAAGGAATACAAAGAAAGAAAAAAAAAGAAGCTAAGGAGCACAAAAAAAGAGAGAACAATAACGAAGAGATTGGTGTAAGGTAATGTGCTAGTAAACAGGGAACGCAAAGGTACAATCGGAAGAAATCTTTCAGGTAAGGGAGACACAACCACTTTTTATGAAGAAAGTAAAAGAAGGTTACAGCAGGATCGCCACTGGCTTCTATTCTGAGCCATATCTGATAACGTCTCTAGCCACTGTGTAGCACCATCTCTCGGACCCCAACCAGGGAGTCGTGAAGGACCGACACAAGCCAGTCCTTTGCAGCTTTCTTTCATACCACGACACCATGTCATGCACTGACCACCTCTCCGCTTCTTCCAACCAGTCCCAGAGTCGGCAAATAATGCACGACGTGGAATTCTCTGGGACGACATTCGTAGAACATGTCCAAGCCACCGAAGTCGGTGTTTCAAGATGGTAACACCAATTGAATTATCATCTCTGTGCCCGAACACACGATGCCGAACCTCTGCATTACTGACATGGTGTTGCCACTGAATGTCAGCAATCCTTCGGAGACAGCGATGATCGAACACAGAGAGTCGTCTAACGTCCTCAACTCGGAAAGGCCAGGTTTCACAAGCATAGAGCAAAACTGCTCTCACCGACGCGTTGTAGATCCGACCTTTTACAGCCAGACTAACATCACGAAGGCGCCAAAGATGGCCCAGATTGGCATAAGCCGCTTTGGCTTTCACTATACGTGCATTGATCTCATCACTCACACCCCCACCAGCACTTATGCAGCTACCTAGATACACGAACTTCTCAACTACTTCTATCTGTTCACCGTCCAGGGTGAGTACAGGATTAGAATCCTGCCAGTCTTGTAGAAGTACTTTGCACTTCGAAGGTGCAAAGCTCATACCGTACCTACGGACACTGATTGCCAACTTATTCAGCGCGGATTGCATGGCTTGGGCATTATCGCACAGTAAGACAATATCATCCGCATACTCAAGGTCGAGAAGTCTTTCTCCAGGCAACAGATCCACACCACCATCACTTACATTCATCAGAGCTGTTTCCAGAATGTCATCGATGGCAAAGTTGAAGAGGAATGGTGAGATTGGGCAACCCTGCCTAACCCCACTGCTGGGATGGAACAATGGAGAGAGGTGGTCGTATGCCCTCACTCTGCCTGAGGTGTTTGTATATAGGGCTTTTAGGATGTTAATAAACTTCTCAGGCACACCCTTCTTCAATAGACAATCCCAGAGAACAGTCCTGTCCAACGAATCGAAGGCAGCCCTGATGTCAAGAAACACTACGATCGTTGGCCTTTGATAAGAATGGCGATGTTCTAACATTTGGCGGAGGGTGAAGATATGATCAATACATCCTCGACCAGAACGAAACCCAGCCTGCTCCTCGCGAGTCAATCTTTCTCGAGTTTTGAACAACCTACGAAGTATGACGGAAGCCAATAGCTTGGACGCAATCGGAAGTAGACTTATCCCCCGATAGTTGTTGCAGGAACGACGTGAACCCTTTTTAAAGATAGGGACAACTATCGACTGATTCCATGACGTTGGTACACTCTCTAGTTCCCAAACCTTTGTAAACAACGTCGTCAATTCCTTAGTCAAAAAGTCACCACCATGTTTAAAAAGAGCCGGAGGTAAGTCATCTGGGCCAGGTGATTTATAACGCTTCAAGAGTTGGAGTTCCTTGCGGACTTCCTCCTCGTTTGGTGGATCAGTCGTCACCGGCCATGGAGGGCAGGACAGTCTGACCGATGTTGCCGGAGCAGCAGGCCAGTTGAACTGCCCTTCGAAAAATTCCGCCCATCGTCCAAGACGTCGATGGATGTTAGTGATTGGCATCCCATCATCCTCGCAGATTGTTTCACTCACACCAGACTTCTTGCTGCCAGTGGCTCGGATGAGCTGGAAGAGCTTCCGGTAGTTACCAGATGCAGCTGCTGCTTCCAGCTCATTAGCACGCTTCGACCACCAGGCTTCTCGGTCCTTACGCAAGCTTTGCCCAATTTCCTCACGTAACTTCCTTCGTTTATGGTCAAACTCACGGTCACCCGGAGTAGACCGACGGGCTTCAATGAGTTGTAAGGAACCAGAAGAAACCCAGTGCTTAAAAGCGGGACGTTTCGCAAACCCACAGCTGACTGTTCCCGCCATTTTCATGGCGTCATGCAATTGCAACCAATGCTCATCTATACTTTTCGATGGAGTGGTAGCTAGCCTAGAGGCTAGCTCGGTTCGATACTTATTTGCAACAGAAGTTGCAACCAGCTTGCTAATATCAATCCTTTGCTGGCGGTCACTTCGTTGTCCACTGAAAAGTAAGGCAAGATTGGCGCAGACCAAGGCATGGTCAGAGTCCAGATAGGTACTCCAAAAGGAGCGGCAGTCTTTTACACAACCACGCCAGCGGTAGCTGATCGCGATGTGATCAATCTGAGTCCAGGCTTGGGATGCAGAGGGAGGACGCCAGGTGGCACATCGGCGATGACTGTGCCGAAAGTTAGTGCTAGCCAGAAACAGGTTGTGGTCTGTGCACAGTTGCAGTAGACGGTCCCCGTTATCTGACCTGCGGACTCATCCCACTCTCGGCCGTACCAGGGCATTCGAAGGCTTCTGTTCATACCTAGACAGTGTATAAAACCCACTAAATTTTATGAATATTACTGTTAATGACACTAACACTTCTATTGCCATAGTATTCAGTGTCAGTCAGCTACGACGTAGAACCAGGCACATATATTCATCAGTCCAAGTTGCCATACCTCATTAGCACAACAAGATGAATAGCGAATTTATAAAGTAGTTACTTCAATGGTAGTAATATATAAGAGAAAGATTGCATATAAGGATATAGTACAGGAAGAAAAGATTAGTTGGTAGAAAGAAAGATATAAAGCAATTTTAACCTCATAGTGTAAGGGAAGACAGAGAGTGCATACGCCTACGCCATTGTGACCGATTCTGAGCCATGTCACCCAGAGTCTCCAATCATTGGTTACGATAGTCACGCGGACCCCAACCAAGTAGTCTGCATCTACCAACATGGCTAAGACTAGAAGTTAGTGACTTCAAGCACTGATGTCACGTTTTGGTTTGACCGTCCCTAACTTTCTTTCAACCATCCCCAACACTAGTCAGCATTACGCGTGGTGGTAATTGGTGTTCAGGCATACGTAACACGTGGCCCAACCATCTCAGTCTATGAAGATTTACAACCTCATCAACTGATTTACCATCATTCCTTAATACCCTGCATGTAACCTCACCATTACTTACCCGGTGATCCCAGCAGATGTGAGCAATATCTCTAAGACAACTGTGATCGAATACTAGTAACTTACGAGTATCCTTAACGGCCAAGTTTCCCAGCCGTGAATTATATTCATCTCTTAATTGACCGATGGAGATCTCGTCTTCTTCATAGATGACGTAAGTTGGCAAAAGCCAAACGATTCCATGCAGAGATTTTGTCAGACACCAACCCATTAGGGTTGATTAGACTTCAAAGATAAATGAAGTTGTCGATGCGTTCAACTACTTCACCCTCTATCCTTAGTTCAGGTATTGACACAGGCCAGTCCTGAAGCAACAACGTGCATTTAGAGGGGGAAAAGCGCAACCCAAACATCCTGGCATTGTTTCTCAGTCCTACCAAAAGACTCTGCATTTTATTAGCGTCTTCACCAAACACAACTATTTCATCTGCGTATTCTAAGTCGATAAGTGCACCTCCCGGTAGGAGATCAATGCCTGAAAATTCAATCGACGAGAGCGTTATTTCCATCAGTAGGTCTATGATGAAGTTAAATGAAAATGGAGAAAGTGGACTGCCCTGCCGGACACCATTTGAGGCTGCAAAATCAGATGACAGTTCGTCATAAGCTCTGACTCGACTATTGGTGTTCGAGTAAAGAGCCTTCACAAGGTTTATGTGCTTCTGAGGTACACCTTTTAATGACAGACACTGCCACAGGACCTCTCGGTCTACAGAGTCAAATGCTGCTTTTAGGTCAAGAAACACTATAATTGTCGGACGCCGATAAGTATGCCTATGTTCTAGAACCTGACGAATGGTGAACATGTGGTCGATGCAGCCACAGCCAGCTCTGAAGCCAGCCTGATTTTCTCGTGTTTGCAGTTCACGAGTCTTAGTTAGGCGTCCGATAATTATTGAAGCTAGTATTTTAGATGCTATGTTAATCAAACTAATCCCTCTATGGTTATCACAGGATGATTTTGACCCCTTTTTATATATTGGGACAATCAGTGATTGTGACCAATAAGATGGGATTACGTCCAACTCCCAGATTTTAGCTAAAATATTAGTCAACCTAATCGCTAAAATTGGACCACCATCCTTAAAGACCTCTGTAGCCAATCCATCTGGACCAGCTTCTCTTCCTCGTTTCAGATTATCTATAGCCTTTTGAACTTCAACTAGAGTCGGGGGACCTACTTCAATGTTCCGTTCAGGCTGTCTGGAAATGGTGGGTAGTTGTAGAGTAGCTGGAGGCCAGCTGAACTGCTCCTTAAAATGTTCCGCCCATCGTTCTAAACGTCTGGACTGGGAGCAGATAAGAGTGTCGCCTTTTTCCGAGATAGTCTCACTTACACTTGACTTAATAATCTTAGTTTCTTTTATTGGTCTCTAGAGCTGTTTTGTATTACCTACAGCCGCCACCTTTTCCACCTCTATGTGCTTTCGTTGCCCACCACCGCTGACGGTCGCTCCTTAGACTGTTGGTTAACCAAGATCTGATCTGCTTTCGCTCTTCATCGTGTTCAGATCCTGATGGGATGAGTTTACGAGAATCCATTAGTGCAATAGACTTAGAAGAAATCGATTGGTGTTTTGTAACCCTTTGGTTTAAATCACTGATAGATGTCACTGCTGTTTGTATATCTTTCCAAGCAACATCTGGGTCAGCCTCGTTTTCAAAACTACCTAAGTGTGACCTCAGTTGTTCCTGGAATCTACTTTCTGCTTTTTCGTCACTCAGTTCAATTCTAATGGGTCTTCTTAATGTGGATTTTCTGCATCCAGTGAGGCTCAAACAAATGCGTGCCCGTATTAGAGCATTATTAGAGTCCAAGCAGGTATTCCAGAACGAGCGTGAGTCTTCTATCGAGCCTCTACAACGATGACTGATGGCAATATGGTTCACCACGCCAAGGTAGCAGCAACGGTCTGGACTATTAAGATACTAACTACTATTAAACTAGTTTCACAAAACAGAACTAATGTTTTAGGGATATGCTTTCTTCGTGGATATAGGGACTGTGATTTCATTACTAGGACACACAAGAGCTGTTAAAAGCATTACAGACTAAGAATATTACTTGAAGGATATTTATATTGATTCCTGAAAAACGTGTTGACGTTTATTAAGTTGTGGAAAGTATATCAAGTAGTGGTTACATAGAAATGTCACCATTATAAACTGAAGACGATGTTAGATAGGGTCATCAGTTTTATTTTTTCTACTCAACTTCGCCACTGAAAGCATTCTGTCTACGGGACGTTGGACGAAAATTTCAAAGGTGCAGTCTCGTTTTACAATTGATGCTTTAAAAAAGTGGAGAGCATATACTTTACACCAGTTTCAGTCACCCAAACTAAACGGTAACAAATCAGAAATTTGCGATATGATTAGACATAACTTGGAATAATCTAAATCTACATCATACAATAGTTCCTACATATATTTTTATTGAACAATAAGCAGTGGAATTCTATATGGCTTATACTTATGGACTTGGTAACTAGTCAATCGTTAATCATGGACAGTGAAGGATTAGGCACAAATCTGTACCCAATAATGAAAATTCGTATTCGTTCTTTTTACTAAGTTTGCATCTGTTTGAAGTGCCACACTTTGCCCCCTTCATATTTTCTAGGAATTTAATACTTTCATTTTAGAATGTCAGGTCAAAGTAATAGAAACTAAGTGCAGAAAAATTCTTACTTTCTTCAGTCCATGGAAATCTCCTTTAATTTGACCAACAACTTACTTTATCTAAATACTTAGGGATAAGCTCAGCAATCAGCTGAGAACACGCTGGAGTCAATTCTGACGGCTTAAGAAGAACACTATTCCCAGCAGCAATTGCACCAATTAGAGGCTGAAATGATAAAATGAAGGGGAAGTTCCAAGGGCTTATTATTAAAACCACACCGTATGGCTGCTTTTGAATAGTTACTGTATCCATTAACGTGATGAATGACGATGGAACCTGGATAATTAATTACCCTCATAACATTTGTTTTGCGCACTATAATCGTTGGCTATGGTGACACTTAAGGAGGAAGCCAAAAGATGAAGTATAGAGTTGATAGTTGAGGTAGAAGTAATTATGGAAACTGGAGGAGGAAAATTGATTATGAATACGGCGGTCTTGATCGCTGTTAGAGGTATGAGGACGGCTATCACTTCCCGGTTGCCCAAACCGTGGAAGGGTTCTTCTAGAGGTACCTGCAAATGAAATCGGGTTGGAGTTGATCTTAGTGACATGAAAGCGTGACCGCAGTGCCCAGGGGACAACTGCTTGAGGCGGGTCACACACGACCTTTTTGTGGGCAATTTTCTTGTTAGCTCTGTACTTGTTGAGACCTCACCGCCGGAGACGGATATCCGTGCGACAAGGCGATGTGTGCATTTTTAGGGTGAACGTTTTCTAACCCCATCCCTCTTTGTGGGAAGGCAGCATCGCTGTTATGCTGGTTGTCTGAAGGAAACACCTTACTGCCGTCACAGCTCTGTACAGTCAGCAGTACGACTTCGCCTTCAGACCTTGGGTATACTGCTTTTAGTCTTACCGCTCCTCAACCGACCTGTTTGGCATGGTAGGACCTTGAAGAACGATTGTTCCAGCCAGTATAGCTCGATTAGTTTATCACGATAGGCAAGCTCGACCACCACGTCAAGGTAGCATCAACGGTCGTCAATGCCGTAGTATTCACATTGGTGGTTTCATCTCTTGTTGCTGTGGTGTGGCAGCTTGAATCGACGGAAATATGTATTAGGTCTCACGTTGCTTGCAACTGACTGACATTTTTCTGGTTGGTTATTATGTTTTCAAAACTCCTGCCTTATTTTTGTTATCAAAAGCCGCTGAAGAACTAAAATATATGCGTTTCATTTGCACTAATATTTGTATCGGATATTAATTGATCAATAGTAAAATAGTAACATACTCTAAATGTCTTTCGGTGATTAGCATCTTGGGAACGGTGTTGTAAATATTGGCAGATCTACTGATCTGGTTGTGATTACCAATTCTAATCAGCCGTATCGGCTTTACGTGTTCATATGTTTGTTCATCAAGCCTCCTTACTGGAGTGGTTGGTTTATATACGATGGTACCCAAGACAGTTCCTTTTTTAGCTCATTCACCAAGTACGAGCCATACTCAGTGTGAGGGTTTGTGATACTACGCGGTTGCCCAAACTGAAGTAGGTAAAGCCGATTTCACACCAGGAACTTAGAAGTGGAAAGTTGAGCCTGTGGATCGCGAAGCCACCCCTCAAAACAGTTACCACGTTATTAATAAATGTAGTAGCAAGTACTGAGAAGTTATAAACTCATTGTCTCTTATATTTGTATCTGTCCTAGTATACCAGTTAATCTTCACTTACAAGTATTCATCTGCGAAAAATTTGAAGGAATTTATTCGACAATCGCTTTGATATCAATCATGCATCAGCTTGCTAACGGGTGTACCTGTTTTTAAATGCCATCAAGAATGCGTAACTGAATAGTCTATACATACTCGGTTCTAAAGTAGGATCTTTGAGCACATTTCTGATGCTAAACAGATTTTATATTTATTTCAGCAGTTAACGTTGTACTAAGTTGTAGATAGATTCGTTATGAAAGTAACATCCAATAGAAGTTTGGAAAAGGCTAATGAATATCTTCGGCATTGGACAGACTAGTGGTTGGATGAAGATCCATATTTGCAGTCTTCAAGCACAAGGAGGAAGCTTGTTGACCAAATTTCTACTTCTGTTAAGTGTAAGTAATGGAAAATATGTGAATTATCGACAAAACTAACCGGTTAGTATTAAACTGTCGCTGTAAAAGCGATGGATATGTTAGAACAGCTATCTTAGGGATAAATCGCCTCTCAGTTGCAATCTAAATAACATATTAACATCCACGTACTAACTTTGACTGGAGTAAAAATGACTATAATAATGACAAAATGGCACAATATACAATAAAGGAAACTAGCCTATTCGATCATTGCACTTTCCTTTTTCGGATTCACTTTTTAAAACTCAATTTATTTTTAGGCATTGTCAGCCTTTGAACTACATTAAATATGCTTCTCCAGAAGCTTGATACTTTAACTGGTGTTATCTCCCGTATAATTCGCTACGTGATAATGTTGGGTGCTCCGATGTGAGCTCGAAAATATGGTTTTAGAAGGTAAAGGGATATTATCGTAGTTTCATTCGCGAGTGTGATATCCTGAATTGCTAAACATACCGTACGAATTAAAGTTGTTTACAACTATGGAGAGTTGGATCTGAAATCGTCCCTACTACCTTTTCAGTGTAATATTGTCTTAAGCAATATGTACATAAATTTGATGGGCATGTTATAAAATTGCTATTCAGCTAGTTTCACGCACCGAAAAAGAAATCTGTTGCGCAAACAATAATGTATCATAATTGCGTGATTAATCATGATCGTAAGACTATTTATATCAGCATTTCTGGAAGTCTCTTTAGCAAACTAAACTTTCAAAGTATTTTATGTCGTATCATGTTATTCTTACCAGATAATTTTGCTACAACGATCCATAAGTGCAACTGATGCAAGTGTAATCAAACCGTAATTATGGGACATATTACTGAGTCTTTTTTTGCTGTACGACTGGTGTGAAAGTAGCAATTAAACAATCTGGCATTACTAAATATATCTTCCTGCTCCTAAAGACTATTTTTACATCTCAACTCAATATAATGTTCAAGCACATTAGTGTCCAAAATTATCTAGCTCTGACTTAATAGTCTAGATATTCAGCTAACAGATTATTGTTCAGATCCTACATCTTTCTGGTTTGGTAAGTAAAGTAACTGCCCTTCAGTGTAGTGAGCGATCGTATATATAGTTAGCCCAGTAATAGTTGGTACTTTGTTGTGGTAATCAGGGTTGACTGTCGTGACGAATCAGTCGGGCTACGCCCCTAAATGCCCTAGTACGGCCGAGAGTGCGGAGTCAGCTCTTCCTCTCGAAATGTTCTCACATGGCCACGCGTATACAACCACTGCCAGGGAAGTCCTACTCACTGCCTTTTCGTGAAGTGGGTGTTGTTTACGAAACTGAGAGGACGAAAAGCGAATGTCTGGCACTTTAATCGGGTTGGTGGGTATGGAGAGTCCACCTAGGGGAATTGAAAAACCCTGATTCCAAACCAATGGTGCCTATGGGCTCCAGGATCCAAAGAGAACAAGTGGTGTTAATCACCGATTACCATGGGACTGCATCTCCTAATGTTGCCCCACTGTCTTGTGGATTAATCCTGTAGGTCAAAGGCTCGGGGAGCGAAGCCTGAAGGAAACTATCTGCTTTGTTTTTGGCTCTCGGGAAGTATTTCAGACCTAGTGCAAGTCGAATGACCTGTGGCGCATATATATTTGGCGCCTTCTTGTACCAATGTGTTTAAATAGATGGTTTAAAGTAAGCACTGTGTTTACTACTAGATTAGGAAATATATTGTGACAGCTGCTGTTTTACTTAAGATTGCCCAAAAGCATTTATCAACAACGAGGTTTCATGTGTTGTATAGCTTGAGTTGAAACGGCTTTCCGTTTATTTAGTGATGGATATGGAACTCAATTCATTGACTTAAACACATCTTTTTATATTTCATTTGACTGTTTTCTCATAAGTAGCAAAGTAGTGAACTTATAGGATCAGGTAATATATGTAATATTCGTCAGGTTAGTTTTTCAGCTGTTCATTAAGTCTACGCGGTTTTAAATATTTCGAGCACTGTTCAAAACCTATCGCGTTCTGTACCATTATTCCCGATGGCCTGTTTTCAGATGAAGGTTTTGCACGAACTCAGGAAGGTTGATTGGCCTTTGCTAACTTGCATCACTCGTACCGTAGGTTAGACGTCCGTTTATCAACCAAAGGACGGGTTGCATTTCGCTCTGACCAACTTTATGTGTGTGTAGCGCGACCACTAAGGATCTAGGATATTCGTAGACTACTAGTATTTGCCCATATATGACTCCAAAGCACCCCTCGTGTATTTTAAGAATGCATGGTTTAGGATACTGGGTTAAATATGGCAAATCGATTGATCCTGTAGTCTCCGTCAACTGAGGTGGCTGGGACGTGTATTACATATGCTTACCTCGACGGGGGATGTCTAGTGTAGGGGTAGGTTGGAAGAAAGCTAGGAGCATCCAAAACAAGACATAGCACCAATCTATGAAGTTAGTTGTACTGGGCCATGTTAATAGGTGTAGGCTACCAGGCTGGGTGCAAAATGTTTACCACAATTAATGGTTAGAGACTGAATGACATTTCTAGGAATCGTTTACAATGCTACATTTACATTCGCTCCTTGTTTTTAGGACCTGAGTCCCGAAATCTTATTACTATTTTTCTTTTCCTATGCTTAGTCTTCTGTCGATGCTGATACTGTTACTACTTCTACTACTCTCGAATTTACTTTGATACGATTTGATCTCATCGTGCTGATGTGGCAAGGTAGCTTAAAACTATGCACATGTGTCAGCTTCTACGTTGTATATGACTCACTGACTCGAAAATTTAGTTCTAAACGTTTTTTCAACTAGAGAAAATGAATGTTCAAACTCAAGACTTGACAGTAATTGAAGTAAATGAGTAGTAGTAGCCTTAGTTGTTTGAACGAAAATAATCTGGTAGCTGGATTTTGAGCTATCAGCATGACAACTGCTTAAAGGTATTTGGTAACAGTTTTAAGTGTATGATGGTATCGTAAATACACTTACAAGTAAACAAACCCCAAGTAACCTACTTTTCTGTTCTTTCATATCTATTGCTTTACGCCAGTCAGTCAGTAAGGTATATGCAACCTAGAATCTGACACTTGTGCCGTATGGCTGTATCGGTTGTTTTTAAATTCGCTGTATGTAATTTTGTTATTCTAATATATTCCTGTACATATTTGTATATTTACATGTTTAGGTACTGTATTAAAATGAACTGATGCGGTTAACTGGCTTTCAGATGCCCCTATCACTACTACCACCAGTATATCCATCAAAATCACGAGACTCCTTAAACTTAAGTACAGAAATTCATCAGCCTCCTGAATCAGGAGAAAAGATTAGTAGTGCTGCTAGTGAAGCTGCTTTACATAGATGCAGATTATATGAATTGCGCCAGACGTTCTTGGGGATCTCTACTTCAAAAGACCCTTGTCCGCATTGTCAGACAGGAATCTCTACGTGTACATATGTGAGCACAGATAATCACTCTTTTTATACCAGCCCCGTGGGTAGTTTAGGGTGCACTGTTTTAAATTCAGCAAGGTTTGACCATGGTCCTTCCATTTATGTAAGTACCCCTGATATTGATTGTCTTTCTTCTGCCACTGAATCAGACAAACTTCGTGAATCTGTAAATACGTACCATAAAACTACTCAGAAGCAGCCTTCACTAAGCTATTATCCTAATGTTGAATACGATCAACTTGATACGGCTGATCAACTTCCAAGTCCTAATTATTCATCCTTTATTTATTCAAATCCTCTTACATCATGTGAAAAATCTGCGTCTATAGAATCTTCATTGTCTGGGAAATTTACAGCAAAGCCCAGTTTATTTATCAGTGAGGCTGGGTTTTGTCCTTTAACTCCAGAAGCCGTTCATTTATCCTCAAACGAGTTCGCAGAAAGTTCTAGTCCCTCAAATTCGGACTGTTCTCATGAATATTTTGCATCCAATGAGAATCTAAACTGTCCGAAGTCCAACATTAATATTACTAGTTTGAAAGATGTAGCATGGTTATCTGAACAGTGTAAAAAGAGTGAGGATATCCAAAGTTTTTCGCATCGATTTAATAGCAAAAGTTCGGAACCAAGGCACCGGTTTAATAAAGGTAAAGGTGCATGTGATCAATTGAACCCAAATTTACATCATTCAACAACTAGTTGTTTACCTATGTCAAACCCTTCAACTAAAGACACAAGAAAGTCAGACCGGGTTAACAGTTATAATTTTAAGACTATCCAATCACATGATTTACATAGAGATGATACAAGTGATTGTTCTGTATCTATAGATAGAATAAATAAATACGATTTTCCTTACCAAAAAAAATATGCACCTATTTTGCCTGCTAATCTCGAGCTTAGCACAACACATTCACATTGTGATGACTCACAGCTTCGTTCATCAACTAAGTCTGTGATTGGTCGCTGTTTTTCGGTCTCACCCAACCATCGGTTGTCACACTCATTATCTGTTTCTCGGGCCAATCAAAGTAATGCAAGGGTTGATATGAGTGAAAAAGTTTGCACAATGGATAACTCAAACAGCTTCACAAACGGACGTATTTTTAACAAATATTTTTATGATGATACACAAAATCATATAACACCGTCAAACCAACCTTCATCGTGTTCTTCAGTGCCCTATAAGACAGATCAGAAAAGAAAAAGTTCTGAATCACTTTCTTTGAGCGATACTCAAGATATAATGTATTTATATTCATATGGACATAATAATAGTGGTAAATACAGGAAACAAACAAGTGGACAAAGTAATCAACCGAAAAGCAATTACAATCAGATGCGTGTCGACTCTATACTAGAAAAGCAAGACATATCGAAAAAATGTACTAAGCCAGTGTCAAGAATTACTGCGGAATGCGACGTCTTTCAGCGGAGTCTTGAACCTAAAAATATCCCCGCAGAACAATCTAGATCGCATAGAAACCAGAATAAAACCTCTTTACAGAATAGTATTATGATTAGTGTTTCAAATCAAAGCAGACAATTAGCTTTGGCACAGGCACATGCATTAAAATGTACTGACGAAGATGTGATTTCTTTTGGAACTAGTTTATCATCATTACCATCCTCAGCGTTATCATCTTTTTGTCCAGGTGACACTTCTCTGGTTACTGCTCATTCTCGTAACATTGGTCGCTTGAACGTGACTCTACCTGGTCTTGCAGTCAATCATTTGTCTAATAGTCATCACTCATCCGACTGTTCAACGCGTGGTTCAATATCTTATCAGTCTAATAGTAATCATAATCCAAAGTCACAAAACCCAAATTTTAGAGGTACTGTCACAGGAGATGTTTGTAAGCGACGTCATGGGAGATTGAATACTGAATCCTCTAAAAGTTGTAAAAACAGAATAGAGATATCTGAAAGCTCTTCTAGTCAATCGCTTTCTCCATCGTATGCCAATGTATTACTTCCTGCTCAGTCATTTGATTTGTCATCGGGATTTCCTTCTTCAGATAATCTGTCTACTAATAGGAATTTAGTAAGTTGAATTGATAAACAGTATAAATAATGACAAATTGTTATAAAAAATCGGAAACGATTTCAGTATAAATCAGTTGTGAATAAATGTTATCTCACCACGTTTAAGCAAACTCACCATATGAAAACTCTCTAAAAATTAAAAGGGAAAAGCCAATAAAGCTTAGTGATGTATGGTAATTCAATGAATATTAACTTTCATAAAAGATTAACTTTTTTCATTATCATGAACGCTAGTTTTAGATAACACAACACTTTCCACGATACAACCATAGTTTTTTAAAAAAAAAAGTATTATTGTTACTGCGATAACTAATGACAACATTGGTGGTTTATTTCATTTTCTGTTTCATATGAACTTTAGCTGTCTGTTCGGTATCACGTACATAGAAACATGATACTGGATACTAAGAATATAAAATATTAGAATGTTCTAAGTTTTGGAAATATTCTGCATAAATTGGTTAATCAACATTCAACAGTATTATCTGTTCTTATAACTATGTCAGCCAGTTTTTCATGTCTTGTTTTTCAGTATTCTTATTCTACAAACGTTAAATAATCTGAATGAACATATTCTTTACTACATGTTCGAGTTTTCGGAAAATTGTCTATATTTACACTTTTTACTTCGTGACAAAAATCAGTGAAAAAAATAATGAAACGTCTGGGAATTTTAAAAGTCAAGCAGAATTAGTCTGGAAGCATTGTATAGTGCCCTTTAGGAAATATTTCTGTCTGAAGTGACTGCATATCATTAAATCCCTCAGTGTTTATTAGTTCATTTATGTATGTTCATGAGTAATTGTCGGGGAAGGACTTATTAATGTAGGTGTTATTAGTTCAATCTAATGATTAGGATCTTTTACAATTTCAACGTTAATCTCTGTAAACCCTAGTGATATTAACAAACTAGAAATTGTAGTTGATGTAAACAAATACGTGTTCATCATAAGCTACTAAAAATTAGTTTTGGTGATTATAACTGTTCTGAGCGGTATTGATTGTATATGGACGTCTGTTTTTAGTTCTGGATACTAAATCTCGATGTTTCAACAAACTTTTAAGGTACTCAGTAAACGTTCTTTTTGTGACAGTCACTATAGTTACACTACTAGTGTGGTGTATGCTACTTATGTCTGTCGACATAAATAGTATGTAACATCAATCAGAAGTGGAATGCCTGGCAGTAGAAGGTTGAGATCGAATTGAAGAGGACGGGGATGTAAACAGAAAGTAATTGTAACAGCGATTAAGGAACGATGATGTTTGAGACAATTGATGGAAGAATTGCAAATGAAGTATTTGATGTATGGGTTTTCACATTTTACGAAAGAACTCTGTAACTGTGCATTAAACAATAAATTGGTCTTCCCCACCAAGTCTTCGTTCATTTCACTAGTATCTAATTAAGGTTGTTAATTTACAAAATACATTTTTTCTTGGGATCTAACAGTATTCAAAAGTTATGGAAGCTTTGAAAAGTAGCTTTGTTTAATCAATACATTTAAGCTCTATTACCGTTTCAATGTTTTTTTTATATATTCTGCATATAATTTTTCATAATAAATGAGACCCATTAGTTAAGATGCTGTTTTAAACCAATAATTCCCATGTTAAAAACCACTATCTTCGTTTTGAGTAGTGAAGTATTTTCAGCAAGTTCCATTCAATTGATATGAATCCAAATTAAGATGACCTGCACACGAAGTACAGGTTTGTATATTCTACTTTTTGCCAAATCTTTTATCTCGGGGTTGTTAATACTGCTCGACTTCTCAAACTGAAGTAGATGAAGTGAAGTCTAAATATGTGAGTTCATGACTTAAAGGTAAATACTTTAACGAGTATAAATTGTCTTCAAACTCCAAAGCTAATAGATGAATTTTTTCTAAGTTGATTGGTCGCATTTGTTTACCTGAATTGTATAATCTTTCCAGTAGTATCTTAGTATTTATTTGTTTAATGGTCTGTAAGTGACAGTTTTAAAATAAACTATGCTCACGACAATTTGAACACCTAACTGACAATCATTCAGCAACTTTCAATAATTAGTGACTGGATCAGCACTTGGTTATGGGATTGCATTGTTCGTTACTTTTTTATATCGTTGTGGCGTTTTCATCTTGCATGTACAAACATCTTGTTACGCACCAGATTAAATCTAGTTCCACTGGCCTCCTGCTAATTTTGCTCAAAACTAACATGTTAGCAGTTTTCACTTTTTGCTAAGTTTTTTTTCACACTACGTCTTCTAAGCCGAAGTTGGTGAGATCGTAACCTTATCTCTAATCTAGATGCTTATACGCTTTCTCAAGTCAGGCCTGTAATAGTGTTAGGCTAAACCACATGTTGCTAAGCTATTCATATATATGGAGATAAGAGAGTTTGAATTCAAGCTCAAGTAAATTTTAAATGTATCTCGATAACTTGGTAACGTCTTAAACATACAAAATACATGTATACTATGATATTCTTTTAGTAATTATCTATGTATTTCGTTTTGTTTTCCGCAGGAAAATTTATTAAGTAATCTGATTGCACAAATCTCATGTTTAGTAATTGTATATTGAAGTGTTCATATTTCCCACCATCATCATAACCATAACTTCGTCATTTTTAGGATACCATTAATAAGCGCTCACCACGACCTTCATCAGACCATTCAAGAACCTATCAAAAAACGCAGGATTTGGAGAGAAAAAGTATGCGTAAAAGTAATTCTCGACATAATTTCAAGCCTGTAAATAAGGAATCTCAAATCCACAATCTCGTTCCTTCAAAAGTTTGTCGTGTTGGTCAATACATATCTGGGTCTTCTTCACTATTATCTGTAAGTAATCCGGATGACATAAATGATCCTAAAAAGTCTCCTGTATATGTAAGTAAGGATACACGAGAATATGACTATATCAGAAAAGACCATAGAAAAATCTCAAAGTTGGCTGCAAAAATATCTCATTATCTGGAAAATGGTAGGGAGGCAGAGGTTAAAAACTTTGTGAATAAAATACTACGTAAACCCGAATCAAGGCGCGTTGTTGATGAATTGATACGTTTATGTGGAAATAATCTTCACAAAGTTCTCAATCTTAATGTAAGTTCTTGCAACTATCTAGTTTTTTTAAAATAATTTTTCTTTCTAAAGTCAACTTATTGGGTACAACTGTCCTATCACACTGAAAGATATTTTTAACTTGTTGACCTAAATTTTGCTAAATTGACTAATTACCAAGTGTTACCTTACAGTTTAGATTCCCTGACTGTTTAAATCTCGAAATCTTTCGAATAGGTTGGTAACTAATATTTGCCATAATTTTTCCGATTACTGGAGAATTCTTATATGGAGTCGATTCTTGACGTATCGGTGCTGAAAAATACAGAAAGAAATAACGTTTCACATCACATATAGTTGGATGGAAGTCGATAAAATTGTGCTACACTGTTGTCTATACTATTGACGTTCATTGAGACATTACCTGACGCATTCGGGTGGAACGGTGGTATTTAAATTATATTAAATATTAGGCTCTTGGATCTGTGGGCTATCACTACGTGTCATATATCATTTTAGTACTCCATGAACATTACGCTTTTAAAATGGCTAATCTTGTATGAATATTCCACAGGCTATTAAACTTTGCGTTTTTCCATAACGTTTTATGCGTTGAGGACAAACGAATTTGGTATCTCTGTGAAAGTAATCTATAAAATGTGAATCGTTCATCTGTTACGTAAATTAATAAATATTAATCTCTACGCCAGTTTCATCTTTGAGTTTGATAATACTTTAAGAAATCAAGTGAGCCTTTTGTACTAGTATTTCCAACTATCCAACATTCAATATGGCTCACTGCAAATTATAATTAGTCCAGCGACCACTGTATGTTCATATCCAATAGAATTAGATCAGCTGTGAGGGTAAGGCAAAGTAGTAGTAATTACAATTCACTAATTGGTTAGTAGAGTTTCGGAATAGTTTAATGACTTACTATATATAATGCCGATTTATTTTGATTCACTTTAGCAAATGGAGACACTGGAGAATTTGCAGAAAAATTCAACTCCTTTGATTCACCTTGGAGCCTCACTTTCTGACTTAAGGACGTCGTACACGCTTGATTTCGTCCCGTACATGAATGTCGATTCACATAGACGAGGTAGTTGTGGAAGCGTACTGTCTTCGCCTTGGAATATCACCTCTTACGATCGTTCTTGGGCTCCTGCGTCACATAATCGGTCTACTCTTGGGTGTCCCAATAAATTATCACCGTTTCAGAGAAAACGTACTTCCTTATACTCACCTAATACTATTCGTTACATTAAGTGGCCTTCTAGTGGATGTATTCGAAGCAAACCACCTTCACTGCCACCTCCACCTCCTCCTGTACCTCCAGTTTTGCTTAAAACAACAATTTTACCACCGGATGATCGAATTCGTGTTATAGATATGCATGCAATTGAAGTAAGTTGCTGCCATTTTTTGTTTAAGATATATTTATTACTCATGCATGTTTTGCTGTTCGCTCCACAGATGCTCCGTGTATTGATTTATTTTATTTGTTGTATGATGCTTTACCTCTTCAATAGTTGGATGTGTAGTTTGTGTATATTACTATTCTATATCGTGTTCCTAACTTATGTTGTGTGATGAGATTATTTAAAACGGTACCATTTTCATTTCTGATATATATTGAAAGATAATTTGTTTAACCGACAGTTTCAGTGAGATTGTTATCTCAGCATTTATTTCTGCCTTTGTTTTCCCGCAAGTATCTGATGTTTATCTTCAATGATTGATGTTGATATGGCGATTTCGTTTCCAACAGGTTGCTGTTTAGCTTAGTAATTAAAGTTGTCTTGCTCTGTGTACTTTTCTGTAGTATATTTTTTAACCAATACATTCGCTACAAAATTGTTTCAGGTTACTAATCGCGTTCATATGACATTCTCTGAACTGATTTCTGATCTGACCACTGGTATAGATAACGAAGTTGAAGTTATACGGTAAGTATCGTTTCGCGGATTTGTTTACTGTAATGTTAAATGATTCAGACTTTTATTTAATAGTTAATTTTGGGGGAAATGATTTGATTCTGTAGTTATGTATGATTTCATTTCAACTATTTGCAAACTATTCAGCCCTTCTAGAAAGTGCGCTAAATGTAACTTATTCTAATATCAAAACTATTAGTTTCATTATACCAAGTTTGAATACCATTTATGATGTAGATCCACTCTCTTTGAGTTGGGAATATTCACTGATAGTTTGTCAGTCTTGGAGGCAAATTCTGCATCGAGTTACGTATAAGAATATTTTATGAGATGCCTTCGATTCTTGATGAACGTGAATAGTCGGCTAAAAGCATATGACGAAAACAAATGTAGCACATTATCATGGATCGAGAACAATTTCACAAACTGTCGATATCATCTACATGTTTAAACCCATAAATGATAGGAGTAGAGCCGATCATGGTCTAGTTAAACATTAATTATAACACGAAAGCGAACTATTTTATTGTATTTTATCAGCTCTCAAAAATACCTTGAAAAAATCTAAGAGAATCAGGAGAAAGCCTTAACCGATCTGCGTTCTCTGGGAAACCAATAGTTCCCGCGAAACGACGGATTACGTTGTCATTATCTTGATTAGACAGCTATAGACATTATAGTCACTTTAAGCATGTTTTTCATAAGTTCCTGAAATCTTGAAATCAAATTTGATTCTCAGTCAGTCAGTCAGCTACAACGTAGAACCAGGCATATATATTCATCGGTACAAGTTGCCATACCTCATTAGCACAACAAGATGAACAACGAATTCATAGAGGTAGTTAATTCAGTGGTGGTAATATATAAAAGAAAGATTGCATATAAGGATATAGTACAGGAAGAAAAGATTAGTTGGTAGAAAGAAAGATATAAAGCAATTTTAACCTCATAGTGTAAGGGAAGACAGAGAGTGCATACGCCTACGCCATTGTGACCGATTCTGAGCCATGTCACCCAGAGTCTCCAATCATTGGTTACGATAGTCACGCGGACCCCAACCAAGTAGTCTGCATCTACCAACATGGCTAAGACTAGAAGTTAGTGACTTCAAGCACTGATGTCACGTTTTGGTTTGACCGTCCCTAACTTTCTTTCAACCATCCCCAACACTAGTCAGCATTACGCGTGGTGGTAATTGGTGTTCAGGCATACGTAACACGTGGCCCAACCATCTCAGTCTATGAAGATTTACAACCTCATCAACTGATTTACCATCATTCCTTAATACCCTGCATGTAACCTCACCATTACTTACCCGGTGATCCCAGCAGATGTGAGCAATATCTCTAAGACAACTGTGATCGAATACTAGTAACTTACGAGTATCCTTAACGGCCAAGTTTCCCAGCCGTGAATTATATTCATCTCTTAATTGACCGATGGAGATCTCGTCTTCTTCATAGATGACGTAAGTTGGCAAAAGCCAAACGATTCCATGCAGAGATTTTGTCAGACACCAACCCATTAGGGTTGATTAGACTTCAAAGATAAATGAAGTTGTCGATGCGTTCAACTACTTCACCCTCTATCCTTAGTTCAGGTATTGACACAGGCCAGTCCTGAAGCAACAACGTGCATTTAGAGGGGGAAAAGCGCAACCCAAACATCCTGGCATTGTTTCTCAGTCCTACCAAAAGACTCTGCATTTTATTAGCGTCTTCACCAAACACAACTATTTCATCTGCGTATTCTAAGTCGATAAGTGCACCTCCCGGTAGGAGATCAATGCCTGAAAATTCAATCGACGAGAGCGTTATTTCCATCAGTAGGTCTATGATGAAGTTAAATGAAAATGGAGAAAGTGGACTGCCCTGCCGGACACCATTTGAGGCTGCAAAATCAGATGACAGTTCGTCATAAGCTCTGACTCGACTATTGGTGTTCGAGTAAAGAGCCTTCACAAGGTTTATGTGCTTCTGAGGTACACCTTTTAATGACAGACACTGCCACAGGACCTCTCGGTCTACAGAGTCAAATGCTGCTTTTAGGTCAAGAAACACTATAATTGTCGGACGCCGATAAGTATGCCTATGTTCTAGAACCTGACGAATGGTGAACATGTGGTCGATGCAGCCACAGCCAGCTCTGAAGCCAGCCTGATTTTCTCGTGTTTGCAGTTCACGAGTCTTAGTTAGGCGTCCGATAATTATTGAAGCTAGTATTTTAGATGCTATGTTAATCAAACTAATCCCTCTATGGTTATCACAGGATGATTTTGACCCCTTTTTATATATTGGGACAATCAGTGATTGTGACCAATAAGATGGGATTACGTCCAACTCCCAGATTTTAGCTAAAATATTAGTCAACCTAATCGCTAAAATTGGACCACCATCCTTAAAGACCTCTGTAGCCAATCCATCTGGACCAGCTTCTCTTCCTCGTTTCAGATTATCTATAGCCTTTTGAACTTCAACTAGAGTCGGGGGACCTACTTCAATGTTCCGTTCAGGCTGTCTGGAAATGGTGGGTAGTTGTAGAGTAGCTGGAGGCCAGCTGAACTGCTCCTTAAAATGTTCCGCCCATCGTTCTAAACGTCTGGACTGGGAGCAGATAAGAGTGTCGTCTTTTTCCGAGATAGTCTCACTTACACTTGACTTAATAATCTTAGTTTCTTTTATTGGTCTCTAGAGCTGTTTTGTATTACCTACAGCCGCCACCTTTTCCACCTCTATGTGCTTTCGTTGCCCACCACCGCTGACGGTCGCTCCTTAGACTGTTGGTTAACCAAGATCTGATCTGCTTTCGCTCTTCATCGTGTTCAGATCCTGATGGGATGAGTTTACGAGAATCCATTAGTGCAATAGACTTAGAAGAAATCGATTGGTGTTTTGTAACCCTTTGGTTTAAATCACTGATAGATGTCACTGCTGTTTGTATATCTTTCCAAGCAACATCTGGGTCAGCCTCGTTTTCAAAACTACCTAAGTGTGACCTCAGTTGTTCCTGGAATCTACTTTCTGCTTTTTCGTCACTCAGTTCAATTCTAATGGGTCTTCTTAATGTGGATTTTCTGCATCCAGTGAGGCTCAAACAAATGCGTGCCCGTATTAGAGCATTATTAGAGTCCAAGCAGGTATTCCAGAACGAGCGTGAGTCTTCTATCGAGCCTCTACAACGATGACTGATGGCAATATGGTTCACCACGCCAAGGTAGCAGCAACGGTCTGGACTATTAAGATACTAACTACTATTAAACTAGTTTCACAAAACAGAACTAATGTTTTAGGGATATGCTTTCTTCGTGGATATAGGGACTGTGATTTCATTACTAGGACACACAAGAGCTGTTAAAAGCATTACAGACTAAGAATATTACTTGAAGGATATTTATATTGATTCCTGAAAAACGTGTTGACGTTTATTAAGTTGTGGAAAGTATATCAAGTAGTGGTTACATAGAAATGTCACCATTATAAACTGAAGACGATGTTAGATAGGGTCATCAGTTTTATTTTTTCTACTCAACTTCGCCACTGAAAGCATTCTGTCTACGGGACGTTGGACGAAAATTTCAAAGGTGCAGTCTCGTTTTACAATTGATGCTTTAAAAAAGTGGAGAGCATATACTTTACACCAGTTTCAGTCACCCAAACTAAACGGTAACAAATCAGAAATTTGCGATATGATTAGACATAACTTGGAATAATCTAAATCTACATCATACAATAGTTCCTACATATATTTTTATTGAACAATAAGCAGTGAAATTCTATATGGCTTATACTTATGGACTTGGTAACTAGTCAATCGTTAATCATGGACAGTGAAGGATTAGGCACAAATCTGTACCCAATAATGAAAATTCGTATTCGTTCTTTTTACTAAGTTTGCATCTGTTTGAAGTGCCACACTTTGCCCCCTTCATATTTTCTAGGAATTTAATACTTTCATTTTAGAATGTCAGGTCAAAGTAATAGAAACTAAGTGCAGAAAAATTCTTACTTTCTTCAGTCCATGGAAATCTCCTTTAATTTGACCAACAACTTACTTTATCTAAATACTTAGGGATAAGCTCAGCAATCAGCTGAGAACACGCTGGAGTCAATTCTGACGGCTTAAGAAGAACACTATTCCCAGCAGCAATTGCACCAATTAGAGGCTGAAATGATAAAATGAAGGGGAAGTTCCAAGGGCTTATTATTAAAACCACACCGTATGGCTGCTTTTGAATAGTTACTGTATCCATTAACGTGATGAATGACGATGGAACCTGGATAATTAATTACCCTCATAACATTTGTTTTGCGCACTATAATCGTTGGCTATGGTGACACTTAAGGAGGAAGCCAAAAGATGAAGTATAGAGTTGATAGTTGAGGTAGAAGTAATTATGGAAACTGGAGGAGGAAAATTGATTATGAATACGGCGGTCTTGATCGCTGTTAGAGGTATGAGGACGGCTATCACTTCCCGGTTGCCCAAACCGTGGAAGGGTTCTTCTAGAGGTACCTGCAAATGAAATCGGGTTGGAGTTGATCTTAGTGACATGAAAGCGTGACCGCAGTGCCCAGGGGACAACTGCTTGAGGCGGGTCACACACGACCTTTTTGTGGGCAATTTTCTTGTTAGCTCTGTACTTGTTGAGACCTCACCGCCGGAGACGGATATCCGTGCGACAAGGCGATGTGTGCATTTTTAGGGTGAACGTTTTCTAACCCCATCCCTCTTTGTGGGAAGGCAGCATCGCTGTTATGCTGGTTGTCTGAAGGAAACACCTTACTGCCGTCACAGCTCTGTACAGTCAGCAGTACGACTTCGCCTTCAGACCTTGGGTATACTGCTTTTAGTCTTACCGCTCCTCAACCGACCTGTTTGGCATGGTAGGACCTTGAAGAACGATTGTTCCAGCCAGTATAGCTCGATTAGTTCATCACGATAGGCAAGCTCGACCACCACGTCAAGGTAGCAACAACGGTTGTGAGCGGGCGATTCTATAAATACCCTTTCTTTCTGTACATAAGCTAATCTTCATATTGAAACTATTCCCATGCCTCCCGGTGTTTAAGAGTGGAACTTTTCTCTAAACGAGAAGACGGTTACGAAGGTAGTGTCTGACTCTTTGACCACAAATATATCCACTACAAAGTGCTTTTAACTAGTCGTAATTTCTCTAGATATTCTGGTTTTTCGAAGAAATATTTGTCAAATATTGTTCATCGTAAATATTATTCTCATCATGAACACACAATGCAACATTTTCCTAAACTTTCATTTTAGTTCCCTTTATCGATGGACTACTGGTAAGGATACCAGATATGAAGATTATGATCCAGAAGCTCCATCTGATTCATTGATTGGGATGTTGAGACAGATGAAATATAATCAGTTATCGCGTAATGAATTATTTTATGAACTATGCCGGTACGTGTTTTGCCATTTCAGTTAAGGAAATTTGTAGATCTGTCATTGAGGAAATACTTTCGATCGTAACTCACTTTTAATGAGATTCGTACAGACTTTAAGTATTTATTTGGTAATTGTTTTGTGACTTCTGGAAGTATCATATATATACTGTTGTATATATTCCCTAATGAAAAATACGAGCATGATGATTTTTTCACCATAAATTGTCGTAATTTTTAATTAATCTAATTTGATATTTGTTGTTTTATGTACTTTTGTGATATGCATGACTTCAGAATAAACTTTAATTAGTATAATGGAGGGTTTATTTTCCAAGTAAAGAAATAAATGAATCGATATTGTTAGAATAGCTTACAATCTATATCGACGTTTGATAATCATCTAGTTCTTAAATGCAAATTTCGTAACTTTATGAAGGTATATCAAAAGAATTGAAAGTATTAGCTGTCAGCGTTATACGTGAGATTTTGTCCAACTACTTGCTAAAATTTACAACGTCATCGATGTTCATGAAGGAAATTCGGTTGGTTTGTGTCTGGATCTCCCGGGAATTCCTCTATAAGATCTTCAAAGACCAGGATAAGGCTGAAAACATTTCATCCAATCAGCGGGCGGAAAGTCGTGGTAAACATATCAATTTAATCACTGGCACTTGCTAATCCCATTACATGAGATTAAGTAACAGGAACTTCCTTTAGGACCGATACTTTACAGTCTACTGGGACCATTTGACCCAGATCTTGTGTGTATTTCGTCAACCTGCTCATCTTGTAGTGATAAGTTTTAGCTTGTTGGGTTCTATTTCAGTTCTATGACTTTTCAGCGGTTTCTCATGTTTCCTAATTATTTTTACTTTTGATTACATACAGGTTTTTCTATTGTTACCCAAGCCTTAGATAAACTTTAAACCACTTTCGCAGCAATTAATTTTTTGTTTTTATGTTATCGCGTCTCATCCTTTGAGTGAATGCGTTTATATATGTTGGATACATAATTTACATTTCTTTATCATATAAAGAATCACTTTTTTTACCTTCATTACTTTAATTGTGGCGGTCTATATTCACATTTGTTTTTTTTATAGAAGTATTAATCCAAAGTATGGATTATTTCATCATTGAATTGGACAATGTGACTCTTAACTTATACACCCGGTCATTTACAGTCAACGTAAAGCGTTGGACAAATATTCATTAACCAGTTCTTATACCACAACAGCAGGATCAGATGAAATTAACATTATTAGTATCAAATGAATTAAGATAATGATAGTAACAATGATGATGAGACAGACTAATCTTTAAGCAGGATATTCACTCCGGTACTCGAACGCAGTACTGTTAATTTCAAACGCCATTGAGTTATCCACTTAGCTATTGAATCCAGTTGGTCATTAGCTTGTAGGGTGGGGTGACGAAACACGCGTCCTGGATACTACTGCTAGCTTTCATCCATCTCTTCTTGAAAACACTTGTGTCTTAGTGACAATATAGAGACAATCTTCACAGGATGCCTAAATGCCGAAGAGACTGATTAATTACGGTCCTAAACGTCAATAGGGAAATTCGAACAACCATACAGATTCGAAAGATTAATCTTTTAAAATGTAGCTCCATAAGACTGAATGAAAGGCTATGCATGAAGAAATACTAAAACTCTAGATCTAGGGGAAGATTAGGCGTGAATGCATCTGTGCCGTTGTGATCAATTCTAAGCCATTTCACTCAGTCTTCGAAAATTTATCGGGATTATCGCACAGACTACAGTCAGGTAGTTGGATATACCACAAAATATCAGACCAACAGACCAATCTATGGACTGGCTGATCACACATCTTGATCTGCTTGTTTCTAGCTTTCTTTCAACTCATTCCCGGTGTTAAACTTTCGACACCGAGGTATACAGTGGTTGGGTATATCTAGCACATATCCTCAGTCTGCTCTGTCTATGAAAATTCACAACCTCATCAACAAGTGAAGTGGTCAATGCACCCAACCACTATATCTTAGTGGTAAAGTCTCAGACTGTAACGTTGATTGATGTGGGTCAAATCTTAAAATTATACATACATGTTTGTATTTTAACATACGGTGTTTTTTTTTTCGAGAAATGGGTCAGTTTCTTCAGGAGTTTGACTTCATCTTTCCATTGAAATATCCTGTTTGGAGTTCATTTATTATATAAACAGATTACCAGGAAGAAATGCGTAATTAAGTGCATGAATGTATAATTTATATTTTGTTTAGTATCATCCATTCGTAGTGTCACCAGAATATTGGTAGTTTTAATAATTTTCTTTATCCAGGTATGCTGGATTACAATGTCAATATATAACTGGTTATTCTAAAGGTGCTGGATATCGTCCAGGCATGCCAATTAAAGATAATCAACTGTTTCGTAATACTTGGCTTGCAGTGTACATTTGTGATGGTTGGCGTTTTGTAAATTGTAATTGGGGTGCTCGGTATTTATCGGAAAGTAAATCTTGTTTTCCCCTAATTGTTTTTATTCTGTTTTCTAATATCCACTTTAAATTTGTCCTGCAATACATCTACAGTTTCAATCTCACTTTTTCTGTCTGGTGTCATGGGGGCTTAAATAAAGTATCTAAGTGAATGTAAATGTTCGTCTATACAAATAAGTAATTAGGTCTTTAAATTTGAAAATTATTAAGTTTAGATTTCGTAGTTCGATAAATTTGTGTCAGCAGTGTGACTTAATTATGTGGAATATGTCTTTTCCATTTATTTCTACAACATAGAATCACATAGTTTCAACATTTTGTGTTTTCAAAACGTTTATTGGCAAGTCAACGCTGATAGATACTTGTGTGTATTGTCTTGTTAAATAATTGTCGTAATTCAATATACTTTACCCATGTCTATACTGTGTTCTTGATCGGTTTTTATTTGAATTCTGAGAGAATAGTTTCGTGGCCAGGTTTATAGTGCCAAGTGAATAAGGTACCCCTTACGCTATATTGGAAAATCCCTCGTCCTAGGTTAAAAGTTCTTAAAACATGTAGTTCGAAATTTCCTAACTCCAGAATTATAAAGCTCCATCCATTTTGCGATAACCGATATTTTATGGTAGTGCACAAAGCATACACCATTCACTTTATTTAATAAAGGTTTTCAGCTTGATCGACTCAGTAGTATCTGGCTGTCTGCAGCAGATAAATAAACCTCTAGAATGACCAGTAGTGGAACAAGTAGATTTACATAAATGAACATTAACATCTTCACATATGTTTAGAGGAGACCATGTTTTAGTCTTAATGACAATCCTAAAATTTACTAATAACATGAAGCAGATAATTATGTGTCTTTTGGTAAAAGTTACTTAGCCTGGTGTCGTTAGCTGATAGCTCTTAAATTTGTTTGGAGAATAAATGTTCTGACCACATTCGAAAGCTTAAAGATTTATAAGCACAGTATACAAATTTCTTGGTCAGTTCGTATAACTCATCTTTTCTCTTTTCGACTGGTTATATTTGTAGATTTACCAGACGGTCGTTCGTCTTCATCTGAATGTGATGAATTTTATTTTCTAACTGATCCAGAACAACATGTTTTTGAGAATTTACCTGATTTAAAAGTATGGCAGCTATTACGCAAACCATTGAGTATGGATCGATTCTGTCACTTACCACTACTTAAATCGCCATTTTTCAATGCTAATCTATTTTTGAAAAAGAATTATTCCGATTGTTTAGTTACCAAAAATGGACAGGTAATTTCACTATCTTTTATGAGTACAATGTGGTATGCACATCATTCGCTTTGTACAAATGAATAACCTTTGAATTGAGTCTGTAATTTATTTTCCAGAACTCTCCTTTATATAAATAGTTCGTCTCAGTATATATTAAAACTGTAGCTACAATAACTTGAATGGCGTTTCTGTTTTTTTCTTCAGCTCTTCTTTCCACAGGTGCGTGGTTTATAAAACAGTCGATTGAAGAATAACGAAAGCATAATTATTGTTATATAATGAACGTAGATAAATCCACATCAGTGTCTTATGAATTGTGGTAAACAATAATTTTTCTTTTGAGATTTACAAGCTTATAGAGGTGATTACTTATTTAAACCTGCAACCCCTCTTCACATATAGGCCGCCGACCAAGGATCTTCAATAAATTTATCCCTGTCTCTCCTTTCCAATCTTTGCCAAGTGGTATTCATAGTCTTAATGTGTCGCCTTTGATTCACGTCACTATATTTTCTTACATCTGTTCCTCTTTCTTTCCCCCCGAGGATTCCGAGCTAGAGCTTGTCTTGTAATACAGTTTGATTGTTTTCCACGAAACATGACCAATTTACCGTCAGCGTCTTTCCCTAATTTCTCCAACTGGCTGCTGGTTTGTTCTACTCCAGAGTAGAGTATGTTGATAGTCTCGGTACAATGGATGTGTATTATCTTGCCTAGGAAGCTGTTTATGAATGCTTGTACTTGTATTGTTCAATTCATTTCTCAGAAATGATCCACAGTGTTCCCGTTTGTTTACCACATGATCGATCCTCACGAAAAGTAAATTGTTTATCTCTGAGTTGGGCATCTACTAGATTTTCTATTCGGTTCAGCTAGCTATATTGAAACATCCGATTGACACTAATATTAACATGATTTTCTGTGGTTCTTACACGTACTAGGAACTCCTTTTTAGAGTATCTTTATGAAGTATCCCTCTTTCCAGTCTGTTGATACCTGTTCTTTCTCCGAGATCTTTCTGAAGAAAACGTGAAACATGATTGAATTTGCTTCTATATCTAACTTTATTATTTCAGCTAGTGTTCAAACTGGACATACTGTTTTTCCATTGTTGATTTGTGCGATGGTCTTGTTTGGTCTTCTATTGTTGGTGGGGTATCGTCTATAAGGTGATCTCCGTGCGCTGTTCTTATATCATGTAGGTTCAGATTAGCTGGTCTATTCCGAAGCTCTTCAAAGTGCTCTATTGCCGCTTTTGATTCTCACTAGCTGGTTTTTGTTGGGGATTCTAGATCCTCAGGAATCACCTTGGTAAACGTCTCAGTTTCGTAATTTTATCTTGAAAATTCGAATTTCTCATTTTTGCTCTAAAAGCGCCCACTTTTACCTTCACCTTTGTATTCTCCACTTTAATGAACCTTAAACGTCATTGGCTCGTTCCCTCTTTTACCACGCTATTTTGTGACGTTTTCCAAGGACATTTTTGTACTGCATACATACTCATAAGTTGTGTTCTTGTTCTTTCGTGCTTCTGGCTGCTTGTGGAATATCTTTTTCCGGCCGAATCGGGTCTTCTCCCTCTAGTTAGCAGGACTGGGGCACATCTTAGCTTGTCCTGTTATTGTATTGCTGACTTTGTTCCGTTTCGCCGGTTCTCGGCGATATCGTAGTTTCTTCGGACGTAACAGTTTCACGTCTTCGTTGCTGACTGGTCGCTCTTGTCTACTACTTTTTCCTGTTAGCTTTTTGCTTTTGCTCTATGGTTCTTCTATACGTTATTTTCCTTTAGCTTGTCCTACTGTAGTTGTCAGGTCTTTTAAATATTTATGCTTGTCAGCCGTAATGCTCTTCTCTACTCCTTTGTTTGCTTCTGTATATTCAGTCTGTATCTTGGCTTTCTTTGCAATTTTCAGGCTTTTTTGACTGCTGTTTCCTTGTTTTTGCTTTCTTGATTTGTGCTCACTGTCTTGATTGATTCACCCTCTATGCTGGTGCTCCTTAAACTTCAGCACCTCTTGGTATATGGAAGTTATTACTTTCTAAGTCCCTCCCTAGTTGTTCTCAATAGTGGTTTCTTGTAGTGGCTTCTGTCATAGATGGAATGTGTTGTAAAACAGTTGTAGTTCAAAGTGTAGCGCGTAAATTTATAAATATTGGTAACGGGAACATTCAAACAATCAACACAAATAGATTAACATCCACTCCGTTGCACAAGCCAGCGATCGTCTGGACTCAGTAGCTGAATGGACAGGTGCGTTGGGCGTGTGAAGCGAAAAGTACTGGGTTCGAGTCCCAGTGTAAACTGAGGCGAGGGCGCACCCAACTGACTAGTTCCCAAATAGGACGAAATCTGCGTTCTGGATTCCACTGATAGCTGGCGTCCAACTCTGCTTATAATTTGTTATTTTAATTAGTTCACAAGTCATCGTCAATGTCTTAGTGTAAATTAATAATATATTCATTGTAATGTTTTTATTCTTATGTACACAGTTCTTCTAAATACCCTCGACTTATCAACTCCCCATTCCTTACATAATTCTCTTGTATTCTGTGGTCATTTTATTTGAATTCCTTATTAGTCTTGATAATAATTCCAATATAAACTTGTCTGATTCTTTTTTATTTGTGTATTAGGTGAGTGTAAAAATAAAAATGTCGAGATTTGTTGGCATTTCCTGCAGCTTAGAAAACTGTGCCGATCATAGTATTCTGTTAGGGTTATGCTTAGTCGAAATCCTGTTACGACCATCAGGTACTGTACGCATTGAAGCTGCTCCATCACAACCAGGAAAGTATTATTTGAACGTTTATGTTTCACCTGATTGGCGGCGTGAAGACATCAGGGAATTGGCATGTTCATTTCAGGTTAGCAGTTGACCATTTTTAATCTGTTTCTCATTTTTAACGCTTGAATCTTTCAGGCCACTTGACTAATCTAAAGCCTGTAGGACTTTATATTATTATAGCCCGTTTTAGGTGTTCGGATTTGTAAATAGTTCATAAATAAGTGTTTGGGATGAGGAACAAGTACCAACAGACTGGAAAGAAGGGCTTCTGATCAAAATACCGAAGAAAGGCGATCTCAGCAAGTGTGATAACTACAGGGGCATCACTCTTCTCTCAATACCGGGAAAAGTCTTCAACAGGGTATTGTTAAACAGGATGAAGGACTGCGTAGACGCCCAACTTCGTGACCAACAGGCAGGATTCCGTAAGGATAGATCGTGTACAGACCAAATCGCAACTCTACGGATCATTGTGGAACAATCAATTGAATGGAATTCATCACTCTACATCAACTTCATTGACTACGAAAAGGCATTTGATAGCGTGGACAGAACAACACTATGGAAACTTCTTCGACACTACGGCGTGCCTCAGAAGATAGTCAATATCATACAGAACTCATATGATGGATTACACTGCAAAATCGTGCATGGAGGACAGTTGACAAAGTCGTTCGAAGTGAAGACCGGTGTTAGGCAAGGTTGCTTACTCTCACCCTTTCTATTTCTCCTGGTGATCGACTGGATCATGAAGACGTCAACGTCTGAAGGGAAACGCGGGATACAATGGACATCTAGGATGCAGTTGGACGATCTGGACTTCGCAGATGATCTGACCCTTCTATCCCAAACGCAACAACAGATGCAGGACAAGACGAACAGTGTGGCAGCAGCCTCAGCAGCAGTAGGTCTCAATATACACAAAGAGAAAAGCAAGATTCTCCGATACAACACAGCATGCACCAATCCAATCACAATTGATGGAGAAGATTTGGAAGATGTAAAAACCTTTACATATTTGGGCAGCATCATTGATGAACAGGTTGGATCTGATGCAGATGTGAAGGCGCGGATCAGCAAAGCAAGAGTAGCATATTTACAACTGAGGAACATGTGGAACTCAAAGCAACTGTCAACCAACACCAAGGTCAGGATTTTCAATACAAATGTCAAGACAGTTCTACTGTATGGGGCAGAAACCTGGAGAACTACGAAAGCCATCATCCAGAAAATACAGGTGTTTATTAACAATTGTCTACGCAAAATACTTCAGATCCGTTGGCCGGACACTATTAGCAACAACGTACTGTGGGAGAGAACAAACCAGATCCCAGCGGAGGAAGAAATTGGAGGAAGCGCTGGAAGTGGATAGGACACTCATTGAGGAAAGCACCCAACTGCGTCACAAGACAAGCCCTCACATGGAATCCTGAAGGTCAAAGGAAAAGAGGAAGACCAAAGAACACATTACACCGGGAAATGGAAATAGACATGATAAAAATGATCAAGAATTGGATGGAACTATAAAAGAAGGCCCAGGACAGAGTGGGTTGGAGAATGCTGGTCGGCGGCCTATGCTCCATTGGGAGTAACAGGCGTAAGTAAGTAAGTAAGTAAGTCATAAATAAGTAATTTATTCAGTGAAACCCTTATAAATTGTCTAAATGATATCAAAACATTATCGTTAAGTAAATTTTGGTATTTAATAATCGCAAAATATTGTTTCAATTAGAATTAGAAAATCATGAATAAGTTTTTGTTGGATTTTAATATCAACAATATCAAGTGATTACTATGGTGGAGCTGTGGCTTAGTGTTGACTTTCAGCTACTAAATCTCAGGTTCAAGCTCAGCTCCAACTACATTAGTTGGGGCAACCAATTAGTATCATTAGCTCCCACAATTAGAGTGTGACTCATATCAAATTATTTGAAAAATGAGTTAATCTGAAGTCTATTATGGTATTAATTTATGATTTTATTTATTGCACAATAGTTTCCTAGAATCGTTCTTACAAAAGGAATTTAGAAATAAACGTAAGTCTATTTTTCTCTTAAATTAGTAGTGCCTGTGTTGTTGATCTGAGTGCTATTTTACCCATTAACAAAACTTTTGTTTGTATATAATTACCTGTCTAACTAAACTAGTTTGCAGTGAAATAAGGATATAGCAAACCATTTCAGTCATAACCGGTATATTTTCATCTTTTATGATTAATAAGTTAACAACTTTTTTCAGATTTTTGTAAATATAGTTTTTTGTTTACGTTACTCTTGTGTACATAGTTTTGAAAATTTTCGCAAAACCTTGGCTTGAGTTTATTTGTTTAAAATCTTAATGATCATGGTACCATATCACACCTTTATTTTTTATGACCTTTTTGTTTTTTTTCCACAGATTCATTGCTCAGAATATAATTATTCTCGTCTAGTTGTGACTGGTCGATTGCCTGAAGTTGGCTTTCTTGGTCGTACACCTGCTTCAGAAGTGCATGGCGTACTAATGGTACCAGAAGGTGATGCGTCAGATGGTCGACCATACATTGTACACAATGATCCAAGACCTCTGAAAATTCCTTTTGCCATTGCTCCTGGTTTAAAGGTTAGGTCAATCAGACAATTTTCTTCCTTACTTAATATAAAATAATTAAGTAGTTTAAGTTCAAATAAATTAAAAAAACTCCCTGTGCCGTACTCATTGTAGTCTTGAATAAATACATCTTCACTGATATGAAAACTAGTGTATAAATTAAAAATATTAGAAATGAAAATTGATTACTTCATTTAAGTGCCAATTTTGAAGATTGATGTTGAATGTCAGTAGGAGGAAAGTTCGTATCTCTCAGCTTTTATATACAGTAATAGGGATTCATGTTAAGAATGATATGTAGTCACTTGCTGTGCTACTTATAACATCAGCTTAATTACTCTACTCGTTACGTATTCGATAAGTCACACAGATTACAACATTCCCAAATCTTAAATGAGAATAACCGAAGCCAATCATATAGTCACATATAATTTCACCTTTTTGTTAATAACAAAACTGCACTGCATCATAACGTTTCAATTTTAGTTCATAATTAAAACATTTTTGATACAAAGGTGTTTATTATATCCAGAGCATCTTGTCAACAGTCTTCAGCCATACAGTGATGTAATAGTAGAGTAATATGTGCTTGCATTTTGGATGAAGTATGTTGACCGCCAAATGATCAGTAATGTACTCGGTCCCATCTACTTCATGACTTATTGAAACTCCAAGGACGTGTACGGATTTATGAATTTGACGGTATGTGAAAGACACGGATTATATTCAGTGTAGTTATGTTTATGATCTTTGATTCAACGTTGTCGAGAGGCTTATTAAATTACAAATTTCTACTAAAGAGGTTAGCAATGTTTTGCGTGATTTATAATTCGGATTAAAGTACAGTTTCTTTAAGCATCTTAACTTGTTACGGCCTTTAAGTAGTATGACCTAATTTTCTTGTATGCTTTCATGGATGCTGTAAGTTCCAATTTAGAACTATTGATTTGATAAAATATATCTCTTGCATATGTGAGACTATTTCTCGATATGAATATCGTATCAGGGTTCTCAGGATTACCTATATACTAAAATCAATATAAGCTGGTCGTAATTAACAAAACTTGTGGGGTTTTAGCGTGGAATCGAAGCTTCTGTAAATTTTCTATGGAGGCAGTAAAATTTCATGTTATACCAATATCAGCTAAATTTGTTCTTACTATTATTTTTGTAGCTATGCCACCAATTAAAATCGTTTGATCGACCAGGTCATCAAATGGCAGATTGTGATAGTTATGCATTGCTTCAAATGAAACCAAACCATCATAGTAGTATTACACATTCAAAGCCATTCAAATCTCAGGCTAATGCCTATTATAACGTTCGTCTACCTGTACAAGCATTTTACTACTTGACTATTTATGCTTTTAATGAAAATAATATTGTCAAAGATCATCTAGACTGTGTGTATCGTATTTTAATTGATGCACGTAACTGTCGTTCTTCTGAGTTAATTCAGGCTTATCCGCGTCAAACATTTTGGTGGGTTCAGTGTCGATTAATTGAACCTAAACATCAGCATTTATTCATTAACCGAAATTATAAATTCTGTCTAGACGCTCCTCAATGTGATTCTGTAGCTGTTGTAATCAATGGATCAGAATGGCACTTCCTTACTCCATCTTCACCAATATCACCATCTAAACTCCATTCACCATCTGGCAGTAATCATCATGGTCGTTGGAGTGGTAAAGTTTATACTGGCAAATGCTTGGGACAGTTATCTGTGTTTGGACGTATACCTCATATTAATAAATTTAAGGAGATAAGTTTAGAAAATGAATGCAGAATAATTAATGATACCATGCATGGGGGTTATAATGGTAATGACCATGCAAATAATACTGATACTACTACTACTAATAATAATAATAACGATGAAGATGATGAAGAAAATTCCTATATTAAACTTTTAGATTATATTCTCGTTCAAAAAGAATTGTTTAGCTAACAGTTTGTTTAAGTCTACTAATAATTATCTTTACAGTTTATAACATCTAATCAAACTGAACACTTCCATTTCCTGTGGATATTACTTTTTTTTATTACCAATTATATTCTTCAGAGTAGCTCAACTGTTAATACTACGTGTTTCAAAGTACAGTAGTTAGTAATAATCACATTTATTATGTAATAGTTGAATATATTTTGTGATTTCCTTACTTCCACTATTTATTTTGTGTTTATTTAAATGTCTTGAAAAAGAAATAATTAAAATTATGCTCTCACAATTATTCTTCCACTTATATGTGATAAAATTTACTAGTTGTTTTTTATTTATTAACATTTATTTATTTACTTTTATTTTGTTATCGACTAGCTATTTTGCGTGTATTTAGTAGTTTTACGTCAGTTTTATTCCTTTTGGAAAGAGATACATATTAAAGTATAATATGCAAGGAGAGAGAGAAGGAGAATAACAAAAAAAAATTGTTGACTTTTGATTGTATTAATTACGCTTCATTATTTCTTTTTGTTTGTGAGAAAATTTATTCCACTAACTGACTAAAGTATGATGGAGATTTTTTCCCATTTCTAGTTGATTAGTTTGGTTTCCAAGTCGATTGATTTCCTTCTTTAGTGGTTAGTAAAAATATTGCATTAAACAATAAAAATCACTTGTTTTCTTTTGATTGACACAATCTGAACTTCAATCGACTCTCAATGAGTATGCACAATATAGCAGTTATCTAGAGGAAATGTTTTTCTTCTGCTAAATTATCAATAATAATGCCGATAAAGAGAATCCAGCGAAGAAAATTTTGATTTCTACGAAACCATTTACATAAGTTGTATACTCGTATTTATAGTTATATGGAAAATATGTCTATAGAAGGATAGAAATGATTGCATCGTAAATTGATTCCACACTCTTATTACCAGATGAGGTTACACAAGAAATTTTTCTACGTTGAATTCTCTTTATTTTTATTCAATGACACAACGGGTTATTTTAATAATGCTGTTAATTTAATATTTTAATTTGATTCGATTGTATTTTCTTTTTTATTAAATATAATATGATATTATTAATAATAATAATAAAAGGGCTACCGTAATTCTTTACGCACACTCAAAAAGAGAGACATTTATTCTTTCGGAAAAGTTTTCTGACTCTCAGTTGATTATTTCTAATTTGTTCACTAGATTCTATGCATATTCATTTTAACTGTGTGCATAGCTAACATGTAATTAGTTTTTTTGTTAATTGGTTTCCTCTTGCCTTATTATTGATTATGTAGTTTTAAAGCAATAAATAATACGACGGGTAACTTTCAGTCTCCGACTTTTATTAAAGTTTGTTGATATAAAGTGAAAGAAAATACTGGAGTTTATATATTTGCTTGTTTTACCTTCTTTTCTCATCACTTATGTTTGTGTATTGTGTATGATACGATATAATTGTGCTTACTTGATTAGCTTGACTGTTTTCATATTGTTTACCTATGTTTGAATATATAATGTATACGGAGGGCAATAACATACTTTTGTTAAGCAGCTGCTGTCATCTAAAGGCGCGCGAATACTGTTGGTATTTATTTGTTTTTTTAGAGTGTTTGCTAATTTAAAAAACGCTTTGTCATTTGATATTCAATGGTTAAGTATGACTGGTGGTGAACAATTCAGAAGTAATATCTTTGACTGCTACATTGAGTGATGCGAGACCGTATCCCACAAGGAGCATCTGTTTTGTCTAGATTGTACATATGGTTTGCCTATGAGCTCCAACTTCCATGAAACTAGATTTCAACCATCATTCATGAAGAATTCTGTATGCACAGTCAAAAGGATATGTGAATTTTAATAGCTGTTGTCTAAACCAGATTAATGGAGTACCATTTACAATTATAATATTCAAAAAATCGTCACTACAGAATTAAACTTATCGGAAACTTTCCATGAACTGCAGAGTTTGGTTAAAACATCATAGAAACCAGGCTTAGTACTTTCAAGATAAGTGAGGAGGGAGAATAAGAAAGTTTCTTAACTCTCAGTTTTGTCAAGGAGACGAAACTTGTTTAAATCCATGTGCCAAATTTTAATCGAATAGCGGGTCCATATTCGGGAAAAATTAAAAACTGCTTTCATGCACAAATCGATCGTCCAATACACTTCAAAAGTTTTCGTTAGCATATGTAGATTGACTGGTCCTTGATAGATTTATAATTGGCATTTTAAAATAGAGCTGATCATAAATTCAATATTTCTTAGGGACAGTCTTGCCAATCTTAAACTAATTCAGAAAATTCTATGTTTATCGATTTTGTAAAGTTTAACTTTTACAAAGCTTTCTACCGAGTGAGAATAATCACTAAGGATGTAAGAAATTAGCAACTGAATCTGTTAATTTATCTGCATACCATTAGCTAAGGTTCTCGAATTCTTTTGGCTATATATGTTGTTTTAACTTCTGTATACATATTTAAAAGACGGCCTTTTTTGTACAATTTACCGACTTAGTTTTATAAATCGCTAGTCCCCCATCACAGTTTTATTTTGATCGTTGATTTGTCAGCCTTTGTCTAGGATACTTAGTATTGGATAGGATTTCAAGTACTATTATGGCTTTCAATGTGGAGTTACTTATTAAGGAAATTTTATGTTTACTGAAGTCGAATAAATGTACTGAACATCATTTTTGAGCTAAGAAAGTAATTACACTTACCAGAATAAAAAATTCTATTATCGGTTGCTGGATTAAACCATCTTAGTAGTAAAAACCTCTGAAACAAGGGTCACTGTACTTTTTCAGTCTATCAAGTTATCCGTTTTCCATCTTCATACCCCACCGATTCGGCATCTAATGTAACATGCCTAGTTTTTTATAATCTAATTGATTGGTTGACTGGAAAACAATGATGTATACTATTTCTCTGAAAGTAGTCTATAATATAGATGAAAAAAGAAGTGTGATTTAACTAAGATTATTTATTTCATACTCTAGTGTATATAGTTCATTGTCATAATTGTTTTATAGCCATTATCTAAACATCCCAGACATGCAATTCAAAATCAATCAGGATTTCGCTAAAAATTATAACCGATATCGTCAAAAGGAGGAATACGAGAAACTAAAGGCTAAACACGGTGATGCTAAACTGAAGGATATTAAACTATCCAAGTTATCTGATACTAATTTCAAAGTAGACGAAAATGTAACCGTTGCTTCAGTTTCAGATAATGATGATGAATCTACTTCAAGTTCCTCAGACACTGATGATAGTTGGGAAGAAAAACAACAAGATGATTTTTTGACTCTATATCAAGCATTGTGTACAAATGATCCATCTCTTAATGATCCTAATAAACAATGGTTTCGTGAACCTAGTGAATCGGATGATGAAAGTTCAAAGTCCTCAGATGAAATTTCCGAGTCAGAAATTAATAAAAATAACAACAAACAAATGCAAATAGATGCCAAGACAGAAAAGAAACGTGTTTTGAAACTTCGGGATTATGAACGCGAATTTCTTTTGGCTCAAGATGGATTAGAGGATGAAAGTGTTTCAAAGGAGGCGCAGAAGATTGCTCAGATGGAAAGTGATGATGTTTTGAGAAAAATGAAAACACAGTCGATAGATTTGTCAAAGGAACAATTTATACAGTAAGTGTTAGTAGGCTTTATGAAAGATTCAGAAATTTAGTTATATTAGGATTAATAATTGCATGAGAGTCTAAGAAGAGTTATTATCATCTTCCAAGGACGTTAGATACTATTAGAAGTTTTAGAGTTTAGTATGATGCTGTGTCTTGTATCATTCCTTCGTATTTCTGATTAATAAAGAATAGATATTTGGTTTTCTAATCATGTAGAGCTCAGAAACCACAAACCAATTTTTTTAGTCTGGATGCAAGTTGATGAACTATAGCTTTACTCACAGGTTCTTGAACATGTATATACCGCTATCAGACCAAAGATAAATTACTTATATGCCAGTTAACCGAGAGATCTTATCGTTATTTCGTCTCTTAAAAACATATAGTATTGCAGTTCAGACTATTTGAATACTCAGTGACTGGTCAGCATTTAACAAAATATCATCAAAAATAAGACTTAGTTAAAGAAGTCTTTTTCCGTCAATTTTTAGTTGACATACTTCAAAAAGTAACAGTTTCTTAGTTTCTGGAAAATTTATCAACTGCCTGATATTTTATTGTCATTTTAAAGCAAATAACGGCGTCCTGTTTGGTGTATATTCCGAAAAATCCGTGGATTTCTGAACACATTGAGTGGAAATGTATGATTTGGTTATGTTTGAAGGACCTACGTAGTCTATAATGTCGATGTTAGACTCGAACTAATCCTTGAGAGATGTGTTACATATACCACTCACTTTATACCCGAGAGTACTACAGCAGCTGATATAGCGACGGTTCGGCAAAAGGTTGAGTGTTAAGATTGTCCTATCAGGTCAATGATACTGGATCTGAGCTGTATAGGTTTCGTAGTTGGAGTTTACGAAATTATTGCAATCTAAGAATAATGACCAGGTAATGTGACGTAGACTCATTTGTAGTTACGCACATCGATACTAATTCTTTGAACTGTGTTTTATACTTTTCATTCTTCGTTTTTTTCCCATGTCCTTATTCTTTTATTCTACTGTAATAGGTATTATCATTTTGGATCCATTGTTTTAGGTTTTTTGAAGGTTAGAAACTTAATTTATTGCACTATCTTTACATTAATTGCATGTCAAAAACTAAATTATTCTCAAACCTTTTTTATACATCGTATACTTTTAGGGCAAATCAGTATATAATTTTTCTGTCCTGTTATGTAAGTGACTATTGATGAGACTAAACGCTGTTATCATACGCCATTTCCAACTTCAACCACTCTAAGCATTCATATTGAATTAATATTTTTGAAGATTACTGAATCTAATAAGTGAGGCTGTAATATACTAGCCTATTTCAAGCTAGTTGTAACCTTCTCCAGTTCGACCCAATTTGTATCTCCTGTGTTAATATTCTTATTAAGTTAGTCAGTGCTTGATAACTGACACGTTTTGAAACGATTTCACTATATACCTTGGCTTCGATTTTGACCATAGGTCGCTTTTTCAGTCACTCAGTAAGCGGTTTTTCAACAACGTTTCTTGTATTTTGAAGTACGTTTTATTTATTATTGTAGAGAGGCCAATGAAGCGCTTAATCAGGCGGCTGTAATTTCAGGTGAAATGAAGGACAATAGGACCAGTGAGAGTAATAATGATGACTTAAATTTTTTACGGAAGCGCAAAAGTGAAATAGAACCACCTACTCCAAACAGAAAAAAGCGTAAATCCCATTATGTGAGTTTGATTAGTTACATTATTTGAAAAATCTCTCGTTTTTATCAATATAGGAAGATAGTCGCTTCACTACCACTGCTCGAGCCGTAGTTATCGAGTGACTATTGCATATTAGCAGTCCGATGGTCAACTATTTTCATACCAAAATACCTCTCATCTTTGTTCTATTTTAGTCAGTAACAACGTGCTTTCAGCTATTGAATTCAATAAAGGGTTAAATCTCTTGTTTTTTATTTTGCCTAACAATCATTGAAAGTGTTGAATACACTTCATCTGTTTAATGTCATTTTGACATTCTTATTTACATAAAATCCCTATTTGTGGATTCCTCGTTTTTGTGTTTTTTATATATAATAGATTTCTATTTTCGTCATTAAAGTGAAATATGTTTTCATTAACCAAGAATACTTTAGATTGTTTTTCCTTATGTTTTTGCGTCTAAAACTATAAAGTCATATTGGGATTGTTCAGCTGTATTCTCTTTTTGTTTCATTTTTGTGATGAGGTTAGACATCTTCATTTTCGAAGCCTCGCAATGTCCTTATTCACGAATTAGTAGAGGTCCAACATGCACTTTTATTGTCTATATGACTCCACTAACTTCCTATACCTTCATGCTAACAAATATTTTTGTGGTGATTCACCTCCTGGGCCTATCGTTTCAAAAATATGGAAGCCGTGTATTCGGCTACTGAGTTGTGGTAAACAGTTCTGGTTCCGTTGATGTTAATTTCTTATTACTGTATTGACCAACACCTAAAATTTTGATTCTTTGTAAATATGTTGGGATGTTAACTTTGAGTATATTTTTTTGTTATCCAGTTGGCAACGCTAGAGTAATATGTCATGGACATCCAATGCAATACATATGTACTATCTTGTTTACTTACTTTATACCAATAGTCGAGATTTGTGTAACTGATATTGATTTTCAGTTCCTGATGTATAAGTAGCATTTTTTTTACTTACCATCAGCTGATTGGAACTTAAAAGCACAAAAGAAATGTTATTGGTGACTAGACCATTTTAGATACCTAACATTTTAATGAGATCTTAATATAACAAGTATTAGGGATTTCTTGCTCGGCATAAACTTTTTTACTTTACAAAGATCTAATTAAAATAGAATTGAATTTGGAAGTTTATATGGACAGTAATAATTATAGGTCGTGCCAAACCGAAGATTTATTGAATTGATTTTTTGTGCCCATATCTGACTCTAATTTGACATTAATGTACCCCATATTTAATTTCGTAATTAACGATTGACATATCCCGTTAATACCCAACTGAATCAAAAATCCAAAATATCGCGAAAACATATTTGTTTCATTCGTTATACTTTAGGTAGACAATCATGTCAGCGAAAACTGTGCAGATGTACCATTAAGTTAGGACACCAGCCGACTTATCCTAATTTTTCCTATGTATAAAATAGACTATATAAAATACAACGAGCAGATACACAAACAATTAGACTATATGTACAAACGCAAACATATCCTCTAAGTTAACGCGCGAATATCCAGCAAGGACAAATATGACTGTACAGAATATCCGGAAAGATTAGAATAATTTATCTGTCCAGAAACTAGAATCAATCACGTGGGTGTGAAACTGTCTCAAGAGATGACGTCAGAGGATTTCTAGAACTACAGTGTAATGACCAAATATGACTCACAAATCAAAGATTGTTGGTGAATCTCACCGTCTATAACAATGTACGGGTTTGTTTTGGGGCTTAGATATTGATCATTTGGTCGGTCAATAACGCCTCACGTCTTTCAAGGTACTATCCCTTTCAGCGGCTTCTTTGGTTGCTTCAAGAATAGCCAATAATCCAGGAACGTTTTCCATTAATACACTGTAAACTTCGGCTTCGTTTGCCATGACTACCACCAATATATCTTCCTCTGATTTTGTATGGAAGCCGATTAATATTACCAAGGCATTTACTTGTCCAAACTTACTCGTCGACCGGTACTTAATTTCAAAGTCCTAGCCCAACAGCGTAGATACCTCTCGTTATTGGCGGTGTGTAAACTGGAATGTCCTTCTTACATCTGTGGTCTGTTAATAACGTGAACTGCTGACCAAACATTTTGTGGAACCTTTTCACGATGAAAGTAATAGGTAGAGCTCCCGTCCCTATTTGACTATAGTTCCTTTCTGTCACTATTAACGATCTTGGGAGATGAGCAATAACTTTTTCAGATCTATTAGGATAGTCGTGTGAAATGGCTGCTCATATTCCGTAGTTGGAAGCATCGAGAGCGACCACAGTTGATAGGGCTCGATTGTAATGTGTAGGCGAAACATCTGACGATAGAAGCTGTTTTATTCTCTTGATGGCTTCTTGACATTCCACCAATTTCATCTACTATTCTTTGTCAGTAAGTAACGTAGTGGTGCTCGTGTGTGATGGAGGTTTGAAAGTTAACAGTATCATACGGGACAAAAACGGAAGAAGACCTGATCCTGAAAATATCGAGGCTATTAATATTATGCTTAATCCGTCCGACGTACCTACATTGTGATCCTTCTTGAAGATGGTCACCCATTATGATGCTGCTTCCTCCCGGACCTCCATCACCTGCGTGGACCACTCTTGAGTGTACTAGTGATTAAGTTCTATCTGTTGTAGACACTGACAAGATGTAATTTTTTTCTTAAATCATGTGAAATTCTAGAAATATTTGAAATGGGTTTTCAAAATTTGGATTTAAAATAACGCTTGCTATGGGAATAGAGTTAGACACTTCAGCACGTTGATCACTTTATTCTTTCCGGAAGTTTCTTCATCAATATAGGTCAGTGGCTAAAAAACGTTGACACCAATGCAGACAGATGATTTAGAATTTTCATATTTTCTCTATTTATAGTATCAATAAGATACTAATAAGTTGATTGTTTTCTGTTTATTTGCTTCCTTTTTTTCAATCTCTAGTTTATTTTGTATTTTATGTTACGAAACTTCTTAGTTTGTTGTTAAGACCAATGCACCACTGCACGCGTTTCTATACTTTTATGTCCTGCTTTCACTCAACTTTGGCTGCTGGATGGCTTTACTAGCCCTCATATAAATGATGCAGCTTGAAGCTGAGTACATGAACATATACTTTGTAAATAAACTTGTCTATTCGCCATTCTCCATTTTCTTGCCAAACTCTGCACCTACTTTAATACTATGAGTTTATCCTGATTAGCTTTATTTGGTTGCGAATCCATAGTATTTAAAGGTTGTTAACATATGTAGCTTGCTAATAATTATTCAGAAATACCTTCGAAGCATTCATCGCGTGCGGTGGAATTACCGTGTAACTAGCTCTGAGACCGATTGTAGGTTACTAGATAGAGGTATTAACTCGACTAGAGTATCTACCTAGATATGTTTAAATCTTTTGGGTGGGTTCCGGTAGACAGTCGTAATATAATAAACTGTTTACCTACCAGGTCTTAATGAATAGACTGGTAATCCAGTTTTAAATATCTCAGTTTGTTATTTTAATCTCTTTCCAGGATTTAGATAAAATAGTTTTTACTGATTCAACTAACAAAGAAGCTGAAGAGTTTTTACGTGATTATATTATAAATAAACGTTGGATTGAACCTAATTCACAACGAAGTAATAAAATTCCAACTTATTCTGATGTTCTACACGAATCCGGCTTAGATATAAATGGGGATAAACGGAAAAATCTTTTAAATGATGATGATATTCTTGATGAAGACGATGAATTCCTTGTTAAATTAAATAACTTAGAACAGGGACGTTTACACTCTTTAGGTGTTAATGTAAGTTTTACAGAAATATTATTTATAATTTATGATAGTAATAATTATCATTGCTTTTATTCCCTACAATCTTTATCCATCAATACTAAAAGTTTTATATCTATTTAGAAAACGTGAATCATGATGATGGCTTGCTAACTCCCCATTACTTGGATACACGAGAAATACGAATTTTATGCGGTAGATTTTGATACCGTATTCTTGAATTAACCGGTCTTTGGCTTATGTAATATTTATTTATACTATAATAATTATAACGATTGGCGTAAGGATAGTTATATCCAAAACTTGATCCCATGTTTAGATTTAACGTTCTTGAAAGGATCACCTTTACCATCTTACTAAGCAGCGTCTGTTATACATTATGTATAAAAGGAATCATCAAACCGATATTTCCAAAATGACTATTTTTATTCATCAAAACGTGCATTAGTTTATGCGAAGAGAAAATTTCAATTTCTCAACTTTTCCCCTTTATATCGTTAATCAGGTCACAGTGTTAACATGGTAACAGCCTTTCAATATGATAAGGTAATCATGACATAGTTTATCAGTTAATTATCTTATTTAAGTCTTATATTGTTTTCTATGGATAGGATGACAAGTAATTGTAACACGGCCAAGGTCATTCAGTTAAATTTCTTTTTAGGCTATTATTTCGGGACACTTTTTAAAGGTTCCATTGGATAATTGGATAGCTATTATCTTAGTCGTTCCAATATTTTTATATTTAAGTAGTTAGTCGAAGATAAAATAAGTTGAAAGTCTATATGTTTTACAGCTTACCCTGAAGATATCACTGATTATAAAAATTTTAGTTATCTTGTTATTTTCTTCACTTCATTACTGTATTAATAACGAAATAATGCTTTAATTGAGTGAGACTTTTTTACAGTGTCACAATAACTTTGAATCATTTCTTCATTTATGTGAGAATAATAAGTGAACCTATAAGCCTGTGGTTTAACAAACATTTAATCCAATCATTATTAATTTCGATTGGTGGCTAACAGTGGGACTCAGGACACTCCTTTAGGTGAAGATCTCAGGTACTTTATAGTGTTGAGGAAGATTCCGCAATGTCAACTGCTTTCTCATAATTAAGAAATCTAATTTATAGTAATGATTTCCACGCGATTGACTGTTAAATAATGATTCGGATTGTCTCTGGTTGGTACATAGTCGATCCTTAAAAAATCCAGATTATTGATCTCGAAGTTGGATGTCTAGTGAATCTTTTGTTTTGTTCAGTAACACTGTCAAAAAGTTTGGTTGGCACTGAAACTTGTGTAATTCTTTTGTAGTTCTCACACTTCTTTCTTGAGTATCTTTATGAAGTATCACTCTTTCCAGTCTGTTGGTACCAGTAGATATTGTAAGACCTAGAACTTGGTGCTCGTACTCAGTGTTGTCCATCCCAACCGTGATATCCAGGTCGTCCATCAGAATGACCAGATCTTTTCCTGGTCATCTACCCAGGATGGACTGCAGCCTCATGAAACTGGTCTTTATAGTCTTCTCTGTAATCACTAGTGAGTACATAGCATTGGATGATATCGATTGTAATCTCTTTCTTCTTCTTTCCTTGAGGATGTTTTGATAATTCTAGAGCCGTCAGTCTTCTATTATTTGAGTGCTTATGGTGCCTTTCTTGGAGAAAATCGGTGCAAGTGGTTGTGTGTGAGAAATTTTTTTAACCAGAATGCAGTCACAGCTCTTCTTAACCTAATCTTTTCTGTCCAGATTGTATTTAATGTTTCTTACTTTTTGTAGGCGGCACGAAGCTATGTTCTCATTTGTGAGTTTATTTAAATGACCCTCCGGTTCTTCCACACTTTTCGGACACTACTTAGCTATATTACTTGTTTCGGTTGTAAGAATCTCCATCAACCTTGTGACCTCCGAGGACTTTCGGTTTTCACTATTTGTAATACTTCTATTTGAAAACCCTTCGACTCCCCGAGGTGAATGTGATTAGCGTTCTCTGGTCATTGACTTTGTGGCGGGGTTCATTTTTACGGATTTTTTGAGGTTGATAACCTCATACTCAACCTTTTTCTATTACCCGAGCTTTGGATATACATTAGCTTCAGAATAGCTCCAGTGAGAATTCATTTCCATAATAATAACAATAATAATATAATGACGTGTGTTTGTGAATTTAATCACATTTATAATGATAATAATCGTAACTTTATTGCTAATAATCTTCGCATCGTTGTTTTTTTGCTGTTCACTACAGACGGGTGTTACAAAACTACATAAAACTGAGCATCGTTTTGAAGAAGAAGATAAAGAATTTGTAAGATGGTATTTTTGTTGAATTCATTATGTTTATGTATAGAGTCATTTCAGTCATTTCTTCTGCAAATCAACTAACTGAAATTCACTTATAGTGGTTCTGTACAGTTTACTGTTTTAATAAATGATCATGGTTTGTCCACATTGAAATATAATATGAATTAAACACATAATAATCCATCTGCGATTCAGAAATAATTAAGCTCTTTATTTGTGTAAGTTAAAGGATTACTTATATCAAAAGATAAAACGTCCTGTGTTTAAATTATTCCAGAAAAACTGTCCAAATAATTAGATTGCATTTGGTTTCTGATATTCAATTGTTTTTGAACACTTACTTTAGAGTGTGTCATTCTTGTGAAGCAGACAAAACGTTGAACTTTTAATCATTTATTTGACTTTTCGAATCTGGCTTCATTTGATGCGTTTGGTCTGTCGAGATGCATGAAAACGTTAGCAAACTGAGAGATCGTGTTGACCTATTACGTAAGACTTTAAGGAGGTTGATTTGTCTTCTAGTGAGATTATTGTAGATATTAGCTGACGCTTGGGGATGTAAGGTAGTTTCGTGGGACGAGATGATTTTGCTAGCATGGATTCACTACCCTAGTTTCTCTCACTATTAAAAAAACAGTGATGATCCATATTACCACTATTCTCAGCTCTTCGTTTCTTATTAATATAATAAGTTATATATATCTGTTAAACTCGGATATTTTTATTTTGAAATATATCTATTCACAGATAAAATCCTACCCTCGAATTATAGAAAATAGTATTGGTCAAACACTCTGCGTTAAATCGAAACGAGCTGAACGAAGACAAGCTAAGATTGAACGTAAGAGAAAAGAAAAACAAGCTAAACTTCAAGAATTAACTCGCCTACGGAATCTAAAATTAAGTATGCTAGCTGAAAAAATTGAAAGAATTAAACGTACTTGTGGTCCAGGATCATTATTACTTGATGCTAATGAACTGATTGAATCACAGACTAAAGAATATGATAGTAATGATAATAATAAATTAAAAAATTCGACCAAGGTAGATGTCCTAGATGTTGCTGAATATTTAGATGAAGATTGGGATCCTGAAAAGCATGAAAAGTTGTTGGACTCAATGTTTGGAAAACATTATGAAGAAATAGATGAAGAGATAAAAAAGCCAGAGTTTTCGGATGATAGTGATCTAGAAGTGGAGCCTTCTATAGATGACGGGCACGATTCACACATGAAACAAGTAAGATCCATAAATTTGTTTTTATTGTTTTTTGTCTTGTTACCGTCTTCCACTGCTAAGAATATTTTGGACACATTATTTCACTTGACTGGCCTCAAATTAGATCTAGAATTGGAAGCAAAAGTAAATGCATCCCCAAAATCTGAACAACTAACGATAGTATAATAATAACAGTATATATATAAAATTTACACAGCAATATCCAAGTATCATTTCAGTTCATCTGCTCTACGTTATTCATTGAAAATGGACCAATTGGTATTCTCCAATTAGATCTTGTTACAAACATGCACTATTCAAGCCTCCATCCTGCTAACAGATCTTTATTTCACTATATAGTAATTGTTCTCTTTAATATAATGAAAATTTACATTTCATTTCTCATAAATCTTCCAAAGTATTCATGACAGCTCTATCTTCATACTTGCATAAAGTCAAACGTTTTGGTTTACCGACTAAATGTTTGGTTATTTTTATTCTATCATTTGTGCGCAATATTGTATACCTTTGGCAGTTTGCGCGTACAAACAAAACCTGAGATCTAGCATAAATTCGGCTCACTTAGTTGAATCGATTTTCGTAATTATTGATTCACTTAATAATATGACTACTCTATAGTCTAAATGCCTCGTATTCATTCTCAACTTGGTAACTAGTTGAGCTTCATTTTATGCTATTAGACAATATAACGAAACTGTTGGCCCGATTATCTTCTGCTTGTCAATCGTATTTTAAATTGATATTTCCACCGTTTCACAATAAATTATTTCCTTTTGTTTTTATATGAGATCAGCATGAACCAGAAACATGTATTAATAATGATTCTGGAGACAATGTACCACTAAAACACTCGAGCAATTTGAATTCTAACTACAAACTATCTACTGCAAATAATAATAAGTCAATGCGTGGAAAACGGAGACTTTATGAAGCATTAGAGAGAAGTAAACCAATTTTCAATCCTGATGATTATCCAGACTATGAGGTAAGTGATGTCACTAAGTACGCGTTAAACAGTAAGGATATTAATACGTCTGATTTAACTGTTCTATTTATACAAACAGATAAACTTCAAAATGTTGTTGCTTTGGTTCGAATTATAGTGTGGCTGAAGTGCTAGCGTATCACTACCAATCAGTCAGTCAGCTACAACGTAGGATCAGGCACATATCTGCATTGGTCCAAGTTGCCATACCTCATTAGCACAACAAGATGAATAGCGAATTTATAAAGTAGTTAATTCAGTGGTGGTAATATATAAAAGAAAGATTGCATATAAGGATATAGTACAGGAAGAAAAGATTAGTTGGTAGAAAGAAAGATATAAAGCAATTTTAACCTCATAGTGTAAGGGAAGACAGAGAGTGCATACACCTACGCCATTGTGACCGATTCTGAGCCATGTCACCCAGAGTCTCCAATCATTGGTTACGATAGTCACGCGGACCCCAACCAAGTAGTCTGCATCTACCAACATGGCTAAGACTAGAAGTTAGTGACTTCAAGCACTGATGTCACGTTTTGGTTTGACCGTCCCTAACTTTCTTTCAACCATCCCCAACACTAGTCAGCATTACGCGTGGTGGTAATCGGTGTTCAGGCATACGTAACACGTGGCCCAACCATCTCAGTCTATGAAGATTTACTATACTAGAATTAAAATTTATGGTTAGCTTCCAGTTATTTATTATTAGCCCATCAACTATATATGTTCTGTAATAATGTAATTATTAAATATTAGTATTAACCTTAATATGTGTCATGTTTTAAAAAGTGAATCCGTGCAATATCACTTGTTTAACATACTGAATTCAACTATCTTAAATTCAGATTAAAATCTGAGTTTTGAGATAGTATTAAGTTGTCAAAAATGCTCATGATTATTGTTCACATAAGATAATTTTGTGACATCGCCACTGATGAACTGTTCGGTTGTTTGTATCATTATAATGTGTTCCTATACTTAGTCAATAAGAATATTTTCTATTACAACCATGATGAATACAATCTGTGATTCAGAATAAATATAAACGAAGAAAACTATGATTTTCTATAATATTTGATAATAACTTCATTATTATCTCTTCTAAATGTTTTGCAAATACAAAGGATACATTACACGGCGTCTTATATTTCTCACTATTTTATTCCATCCTCAAGTCTCTAGTTTAGACTGTTCATTTAATTTCTTTCCATGTTTATGAGTAATGTGCATACTTTCCATTGTTCTTTTATATTTCGTGTTGTGTTGCACATGAGAAAGTAATACTAAGTATTAAAAGTACATGTGATATGGATATGGATATTGTATTACAACTTTCTATTTCATGTTTATATTTGCAACAATTAATGTATGCATTTTTTCAGACCAAGATAATTTATGTTTGGTGTTTATATACAATAGATATGTGATTATTAAAGTTAACAGTAACCTAGATTCCGACCAAAATTAACCTATAGACCGTCAGATTTCTAACTTAAAATGAAACAATACTTTTCCAACGAGTGTAATCTTTTGCGACAATGTGAGTATATGCTACCTTTGAACATAGGCTGCAACACTTGATAATTAACATTCAGGTGATGTCGTCTGAGTGCTTTACAGTTTGAACTAGAATTCAACCATTAATGACTGAGTTTCAATCACAGTATTTGTCTATATGTATGATACAAGGGGTGTTTGTTTGGTTATTAATTGGAACTTCTCAGACATGTTTCGATTTTTCATATGTCCTCTGGTTACACCAAATCAACAGAGCCATCAAAGCCGATTCTGTCTGAGATAATTTTGTTTGCTCAGTTGCCCTTCATTAGTTTATTGTAAATCGATGTGATTCTCACTGTTTAAGACGATGGTATTGAAACAATTAAAAGAGTTTTAAATTATAAAAACCTGGTACCTTCTATCCTGATCTTACCTTGACTTGAGTAACTTTGGGTCGCGCCATCTGTGCGATCGTGGTTATTAACTTTTCATATTGTTATTCGTAGTTACACTATTGTCTCAAATCATAAAATTCATTCAGCGGTCAACGCACATTATCATAATGGCGGCCTTATCATCGTCTGTGTTAACTAATAATCAGTATCTCAATAATCGATCGTGTCCTGTGTTCCACTGATAGACGGATCCTGTTTATGCTGTATAATCTAGTCAGTAGTCAGTAAGCTACTTGATCAATGTTTTCGGTCTGCGTTTTGCTCACTTTGAAGCGTTTACTTGATTGTCATATTGATCGTCATCATCACTGTTGGCTTATAAATATTTGTGATTATTTAGTGATAGAGTAGTGAATGTCATATTAATTGAAATTTGTTGGTTATCTTCTACAATTTAAGGAGTTGTCTGTGGTTCTGTCGTCAGACCAGTTTCGATAATTAGATTTCAGGTTCAAATATCACTTTATCTGTCTTATTTAACACAATCTCTATTGCTTATACAATGGATACCTGAGTTAGAGACTTGTAGTTAGTTCTCACTTGACGATGGATTGTTGTAATTCTAAAAGTAACAAGCTAAGCCAACAAGAATCAAATACACTGAATAACCATGTTCAATTTATCATTAGCGTGATACTGTGATGTGACTTTGATCAATTTTGTCATATGGTTATTGTTGTAATTGTTGTTTCCCTTAATAACAAATATGTGTAAATCTCGCAATCTATAGAAATATTTTGAAGAATTTTATCAGTTACATTGTGAAGATATTATACCCGGTCCTACTTCCAATGAAGACGTTTACTGTCGTTTCAAATATCGTAATGTTATGCCAAATGATTTTGGCTTAAGTACAGAAGAAATACTAAAAGCTGATCCTAAAGAATTGAATGCATGGGTATCATTAAAACGTATCACAGCTTATTTGTAAGTGTTGTTTATTGTTACTTGTATGTAATATTCTTACAAATTCATTTTATCTATCTAGAAAATAAAATTACTTAGTTCGAAAATAGGGAAAAATAATTGTTTTAATCCACTTCCTTTACTTATTTGTTACTTCAGGAGAATGGAAAATGGTGTCGAACTGAAATTTCAGAATTGCATCATCATCTGTAGCCTTTAAAACCTGACTTTTTTAGAATCGTCATTACTCTTCGATTACTCTATACACTACTTGAGATGAGCGGTTCATTTACAAAATGTTGTTAGTTTATATCGAACCTATAATATAATTAAAATTAGATTGTTATTTATATTTATCTTTCACATCTCTATTCAAGTACAGTATTCTGGTTCAAGTTTCTTGAAATTATATCTGTCGATAAATGCTTTTCTAATTTGTATAACTGTTCAGATGCATATCATGTAGTACACTCAGTTGAACTACTCAATTTACTAAGATGTATACGTTATTCTTTATTAACTTAAGAGTTATTATCTTTTGAGAAATTCGTTGTTGAAAATCCATAAATATGTTATTTAACGTTTTCCCTTTATATTATGCAATCTGTTTGATAGGTCACATGAAGAAGAAATGAAAGACCAAGAACTATATAGTTCTAATTATCAAATGAAACGTAAAATGAGTGTTTTAGGTTCATTAAATAATCCAAACGCTACTTGGTATCCTAATGAAAATCAAGATATTGAAAGGTTAGCTAATTATTGTGTTTATGTGTTTGTGACTATAAATTATTTCCTAACATTTTGCACTAGTATCATGTAACTCAATATCATCACGTAAATAATTTCAGCTTGTTGAAAAGAATTACTGAGAGTCTAAAAAGATAAAATGTATAGGGAATCAGCCGTTTAGTAATAATTAATAGCAATGATAATAATCATTAAAGAGGAAGAATGTATTTGTAAAATCTCAGCGAATATAAATATCCGATTATTTTGTTGTTTGATTATATTTTCCTTGAAAAAGCTTGGATCAGATTGCCAGGCGAAACCTTGGATTTACTTCAAATTCTTTCGCTGAGATTTTACAAATACATTCTTCCTCTTTAATGTCACACATTAACTCGGCGCTCAAATATTGTGAAACTATTCGTTCAAATTTAGACGGAAGTTCTTATTAATTAATGATAATAATCCTTCATATAACCACTACTGTATACCACTTGATCTCGTTTCTTCTTTCTGCCATGGAATACATTTTTTTGTATTTACTCTGTCACTGTGATGTTTCGCTATTCCAATAAAAAGAATGCTTTTCTAAGAAGGCATAAATACTTAAATATGATAAATAAATGTCCTTATTGAGTGATACCAAACACGTGAGCACTGCGTACCTTAGTTTCCCCATAAAAGAACAACTGGATTATTCCTTATTATTAGTTTTGAGTTTGTCAGCAGTGTTCATCCATGAAATCTCCAAATCAAAATAAGGTTTATTAAGTTCCACAGGTAACAAGATTTTGTTTACTAGGTAAGCCGTTATCCATTATTCCACAATATAATTTGTAATAAAACTTGGAGTTTTGATATTTAGGAGTGTATATTAACAAGTTTTATGTGATGATTGGTTTTGTTTTCAAATTTTACAATAAAATGGTGTCTGAGCTTTTATTCATGAAGAAATTGGAGCTAACTTTTTTGATTTCACTTTTCTTACATTTCCATCGTAAGCTCAGGATTGTTTTTACCATTGTACGTTCGTTGTTATTGCCTATATATATAGGAAAGGTTTTTCAAAATTTATTGGTTTGAAGTTAATTTGTATCACGAACAAATATTTATTTCACTAGTATGTTAGACTATTTAGCTATATGTTATGTCGGGTGTGACTGCAGGTTTTGATAAGCAGCGTTTATTGATCGATTCGGTGACAGTGACACGTAAACATGTACGAACGGCCTAGAGTTTGTATTGGTCTCGCTTCCCTGTCTAGCCCAGTCAGTTGAGTCCAGAAGACAAGCCACAGCCTCGGAGATATGAATCATTATATTTCAAACATACTTTGTTTATATACCAATCAAGCATACCACATCGTACCATAAAATAGAAAACAACATTCTGTACAATATTCAACAAGTGAACAGATATCGACCAGTAGGAAATGTCCATTTAAAGTCCAAGGACACCATTGGACTTAGCATGATAATTATTGGTCTATTCCTCCGCATCCACAACACTATATTTCCCTTTTAATCTCATACTTCGACTTAAGGACTTCATACTTTTTGGGCAAGTGAAACCGACTTCCTATCGTAATAAGTTTATGGTAGGTGAATAGTGGCCGAAAAATGGAACATTCGACCTACGAAGTCAGTCTAACGTTAAATGACAGCAGATGTTCATCTGTAACATAAGATTACGATCACGTTTTTTGACCTTTAACACACGGTATCTTGTAAGATCCGCGTCTAGTAGTTAAAGTTGTGAGACGTTAGGACTAGGAATTAGAATTAGGGGTTTTATCACGAACTGACATCAACTATAATTCTAAAACGATATTTAGCCAAATAGATGAATGAATTTCGCGCCAAAATCTGATTGGTTCGTCCGTTAATTATAGTCTCGCTAAATATCTGATACGCATCCTAGTCGATTCTCAGATAAAATTCACCAATCAGAACGTCCTGTGCTTTGACCAATTACACGGACTGACAATAACTAACCTTGAGCACTCTCACATTGTCCAGACTTCTATCAGGTCAGGATGCACTTTTTCAAGTTCGGGCAAGAGAATACAGTAGCAGACAAACCTTCCACTAGTTTTCATAAATGCATAGTCAGAACATAATAACTGCAAATAGAGAAATATAGCTTATTTACGATCTATTTACAAATGATCAAGAATGGAATAAGGAGTGAATAATGAGTTGGCAGTAATTAAGGAACTGTTAAATGTAGTCTTTGAGTCCAACTAAAGCTTACAATACGGAGAGTATGGGAATTTTATAATCCTGTTACTCAATAATTATACAATAGATATACACATAATGGTTGTAAAATAGTTCCAACAGTTAGCACCTTCTGAGAATATTCGTCCTACCATAGCAATCCACTATTCCTTCATTCTTAGTACCTTTCTTAACTATTAGTACGACGCCAAACTTTTGCATATAATACAGCATAAATACTTTTGAATTGTGTCATTTGTAAATTAGAAAGGTCAGAATAATTCGTTGTAAGTGTCAAGTTGTATTCAGTATAACAATAATAAAATAAATCGTGTTCTCACACAACGAATCAATGAGATTGCAGATTATGTGCTACTCCATGTGTCTGTCAGTTTAATATGTAATTTAGCGGCCTTTAGTATCTTTTAATTGATCTTCTTAGTTGATGTGTCAAAGTATCACCCGATATATCCCCTTTAAAATAAAGTTTTGGCAAAAGAGTTTTCTTGATGACTATGTTGGAGTTTGCCCTATTTTTACATTCCGATTCATATTTTTTGACGAAACTGTATTCGTAGCCGTTATTTTGTAGTGTATTTTTTAGTATATCTACATTATTTTCAAAACATAATAGTCTGAATCTATGGCTGAAACATACGACCAGATTTATTCCTTATTGAAAGCTATAAAGCTATGAAAATAAGTATACTGACCAGTCTGTATATCTGTTATGATGGACGGTGTCCGAAATCTGATACTGATACACGATGTGTTACGCGCTACCCCCCCCCAACTGACTACTTGAGCGAAAACACAATAATGGATGGGAAAGTATATTGGGTGGGTTACCTAACAAAATGCACAAATACTCATTTATATATATACAACTCTGAACCTTTGGAAATCAATCAATTTCTTAGCCTATGAAACACCTAGGTCCGTCAGATCACTGCTGGTTGCCATTGATTGACCTTCTCACTAGGCTACTTCTGATGAGTCCACTCTATCAGTATCCTTTCTAAATGAATTTCTTTTTATGGAATCGTCTGTCTTTCTAGAAAGGATAATACTAAGGAAAGCTATACTGTTATCATACTCCTCTTCGCTAGTAAATTTGATAGTTGGGTGAATTTTCTTGATATTGTTCAACAGCTATTGTTTATTAATACTGTAGTCACGCACGGTTAGCTTGTCATCTATATATCGACAGTAATAACCTAGCCTATTCGGATATCTTCCTTCATTTTCTACTGTGTCTAGAAAAATATTAGCGAACATCGGACCCTGGGAAGATCCCATTACTACTCCATATATTTGTCTATATAATTTTTTATTAAGCATGAAGCAGATATCCCTTGCTCATCTCAGCAAGAGCTTCATTTTATTTCCTGCTATTGGTAACTTGAATTTGCCCACATATGTAGTTCATGGTTTCTGTCAGTGGAATATTTATGGGCAAAGATAAAATAGTTTTATCTTTCATCCTATCTTCTACTACGTATACACGATTAACTACATCCTTAACTATGTACCTAACCAAGTGTTGGTGTTGTGATTCTAATACGTTCACCAATCATTTTGCTGTTAAATGTTGTTGTGATTTTGAGATATCTAGAATCGGGTCTAAAGGAACCACTGGTTTATGAAACTTATGTTTGTCATAGAACAGAAAGGTATGTATTCCAGAAGGTCCTAGTTCGTCATATGTTTACTGAAAAAAGTATTGCTGTTGTTTTAGGTGTTTTAATCCTGTAGTTAGTTGGTGACCGATCTTTTTATTGAGGTTCTCACACTATCCAAGTTTTTGGAGTTTGGTCTGACCATTCAAAAGAATATTCATCTTATATACATAATCAGTGTTGCTTAGAATTACGGTGCTTTATCCGTTATTTGACTTAGTGACTTATTTCTCGTTCGATCTACAGTAGCGTAAACGTTGGATATAAGCTTGTAATCCATAAAACAAGAGAAAATATTCGTTCGTTGTCTTTGAAGTTACTGACTAGTCCTTATTTGTGATTTGTTTTCTTGTGAATACTTTTGATGTGAGAAGCTCTAATTCTTATCTGGGGTCCGAAAAATGTATTATTCTCAACCATTTATGACTTCCGTATTTCCATAACTTAAATAAAATCAGTACATATTAGTAACTTTTCGATGGACTTCATATGCAGCTGTTTTATTTGAAATCGGTTCTTGAATTTACGGGAAAATACTATTTTACCTTATGATTTTTTTTATAACACTGTCATGCCAATGTTTCAAGTAGTCGTTTTTGTAAGTTTTCATTTAAATTGCTTTCTTATGCAATAAAACTGATAAAACTTTGTGATTTTATGCGGGGTTTCACAAAACATTAATGTAACATAATCCTTTTGTTTTTATTTACCAATATAATTCAGTAGTAGTGGGTCATCGAAAAAAAAGCGCAGACGTCATAAAAAGAAAAAACGATTCTGTTCAGAGGCTCAAGCAGTCAAACTCAGTGATAATGACAACAATAATAGCAACAATGTTAATCCAATAGAACAAAATGAAAACTATACCGAAAATTCAGAAAAACGGGTGAAATTAGGAAAAACGAAAAAGAAGTATGTTAAAGACGCAAACAAATTAGACACAAAGAATATCTTTAAGTCTCGTCTTCAGGCGGCTGGTATAACCTTGAAAGAATATCATCGTACAATGCGGCGAGAAAACAATTGTAAATCTGAATGCGTCAATAAATAGAATATCTCTTGGTTTGAAAATGGTTATCTTCAACTTAACCAATTTTGTATTCCATGGCCTTAAATGGGAATCTATGTATGCGTCGTACTTCGTTGTTGCGAAGTTGAAACATTCTATAACTGATATACTTCGCAATAATACAGTCAAAAAAGTAGAACTGTAGGTTAATATAAACGAGAACAGAGAGTTTATGAATATAATATCGTCACGACGATATCAGCTTTTAGATCACATCTGAGAATGTTACTTTAATACAGAAGGTGGATACTAGCAATAACTTGTTGACATGGAATGTTGGTACAAGAATAACGAAGATTTTTTATTCATCCACTGAGAAGACGATTTTCATACTCAGAATGAATGTGACTCAGCATCCAGTGATGGCAGTTGGTGAACCTGGTAGTGTCAAGGAAAATTCGTCATTCTCACGGGATATATGCTTGTTAACAGTTCTGGACAATAATTCTCGTCTAGGTATTATAGGCAGATAAGTGGTTGCAAGCGTTTTCAGCAGTTAGGTTGAGGATTTGTCCTGAAGTCGACCAACCATATAAGGCGTTTTTATACAAGTATTTTGTGCCTTGTTGGGATCTGTATTTACGGACGGTTCATGTAATTAAAAGATAACCAAATTACTCCAGATCAGAGCACACCTGAAAGACTTTTTCGCAAGTGACCACAAATAATATGGGTTCTTAACCTTCCAGAAATATGGGTCTAAGTATTGTTTCTTTATCGACAACATTTCCAAAATCACTGAGAATCATACTATAGGTCGGTTTATAGCTTAGATAACAGATCCTCACATACTTGCTGAAGCATCTCGACTTCGAAAATTTTTATTTATCCCATCAAGTTGGGGTATTTAGGTTTAAGTGTTACAAACCCGATTGACAGCCATTAGGCCGGTCATAATATTAAGGCCAGTAGTGTGGCTATTATGCTTTAAAATTTCCAGGGCACTCTAGTTTCTGGGGACAGTAGGGAAGCCTACAGCGACGCCAGACATAACCTCCGCATAGTTGGGAGGCTCAATGGTCCATCAATTCAGCGCTTCAATCGAAGTTGTTACATATAATCCGTGTAGAATGATTGAGAGCCTACTCAAATTATTCAGGAACAGTGTGAGCAACCAGCTGACACTGAAGTCACACCTCGTGGTTAGTGCCTAACGTAGAACACCCTTTCATCGTATTCAGGTACAATAGCTACTTTTATGACCGTGCAACATAAACAAGGTTATTCAAGAAATGTAATAGTAAGAGTAGGTGGGAGGAATAGTGTGGCCGTCGCTCCATGGCCCAGTCAATAAGGTGCGAACAACTAATGCCCGTTGGTTGTCCTTGACCTCGGCGTGAATCGGTGAGGTGTCTGACATTCAGTGACCTGAATCATGGATGAATTGGCTAGGGCTCAGTGATATCTTTTGGCTCCACAACTCTATGCGAACTCTTTTTATTTATTACTGACCACGCCTTTGAAAATAGCGTGTAAGTGCTATGTCAGACATAAATTAATTATAACCTCACTAATATGGGCTTGAGACTTGGTGTACTCTTCCTGAAACTGAATACCATGGTTTGCTTGATAACAGAAGAGACGATCGTAAATTAATACCTAAAGTAATCGCCCTGAGTATCTAAATAGGTGAAGTAAAAATTAAAGGTTATTTTCAATGAATCTGATGAAGATGTTCCTACTGTCCATCATGGTGAGTAGTTCTATATTTCAGTGAATCTTGCCACGAAATTCTGCACTTATGTCCAGCTAGCTCGTCCTTATTCTAGCTTAAGTTGGTATACGTTTAAGTGTAACTTAGTACTAAAACGTGATGGTGGTCCGTTGACATAAGAACGGTTGTAAGCTACATGATATATCAGGTTTCTTTTCCAAGTTGTCCTACCATGCTGCACAATTTGCGAGTTAAGAGCCCCCAGGATAGCTTAACGCTTTTTGTATCTCACATACTTTCTTGATTTCCTTAATTTCAATGAGATCCAGAAGAATGATACTTTTCATTAGATAATTGTGTATGGAATGTGAAGTTACTAAACTGTATTTTAGATGAGTACTGAATGCAGTTACAAATAATTGTAGGGTTAGGCTGCCTACTGTTTAAGAGAGAGATTGCAGTGCCAATAATCGTTTGTTATGAGTGGTGCCAGTATGAAGACAATATGATGTGATTCTCTGTGAAGAATCGTGCGATTCTTAAATCGCCCACGCAATGTTAGATGCACAGAACATCATTTATATTTACTCTATCTTTGCGCTAATTGTTGCATTGGTGCTTTTAAAAAACATATTCGGGCAAAAATACTAAGAAACTAAATGAGACTGTATTCACTACATATATATATATATATATACATTTTTCACAGTACTCCTTGTACTAATGGGTTAGATTCAGCATTTCTGTTGAAAACTAGTATGAAATTGAGTGTGGAACAAATGGTTGGAATGGTTGTGAACAGAATAGAAGAAGCTTTCGCTGAACAAGCTTCTGTGTCTAGTAGCAGGGGATCACCAAATCCTCCAGGCAGGAACCTAGGTATGTCAACAATAAAAGAGGAAAAGAAATTAGTCCTTAAGAATATATCAAGTTGCCTCTTAAAGGATTCCTGGGAAGTCGCTTGGACTAGCTCGGCCGTCAGCGAATTCCAGCATTTAACAACTCATAAGGAGTAGAAGTTGTGTCTACAGTCCGTTCTGCTATATTGTGTCTCCAGATTTTGGGTGTTACCTCTTAGGTTAGTGTTGGAATTAAGCTAAAGTAGGTGTTTGAGAGGATGTCCAGAAGTGTTACGGATACTATAAGCCATCAGAAGGTCACCTCGAAGACGTCTATACTCCAATGGGTAAAGGTTAAGTGAATGGAGGCGCTCTTCGTAAGGTTTAGATTTGAGTCCTCGAACTGATTTCGTGGCTCGCCGTTGGATACGCTCCAGGGTGTCCTTATCCTTTTGGAATGAGGGAGGAACTACTATGTTTCCGTACTCTAAATGGGAACGGATAAAACTACTGAAGATTATATGGAAAGTTCTTCCGTCAAACTATCCAAAAATGCGCTTCAAAGTTACCAGTGCAAGGTTTGCTCGGAAGGCATTTTTGTCACAGTTAGCATAAGACTTTAAATCATGGGGCACCAGGAATCTTAAATCTTTTTCCACTCGGGATACTACCAGAGAGGAGTTTCCTAAGTTATAACTGTAGTCTGCGACATGTCGAAGATGGACTACTTTACACTTTGAAGTGTTAAAGGCAAGACCGTTATCGTCTGCCCACCTTTGAAGTCGAGTCAGATCCGCCTGAAGTGCCTGTATATCCTCTTGGTTGCGTATCTCTCTCCAAAGTTTCACGTCATCGGCAAAAAGTAATAAGTCTGACGTCACCTGTTGAGGAAGATCACTTATGTATATCAAGAAGAAGAGAGGTCCTAGTACTGAGCGATGGGGGACCCCACTAGGACGTTCCATAGCCTGAGATAAGGTGAAATTAACCCTGACCTTAAAATGTCGATTTTTCTGGTATGACGTGAGCCAATCGATTAGAGGTGGTCTGATACCCAATCGTTTGAGCTTATTGATAAGACATGTATGGTTAACCTTATCAAAAGCTTTTGAGAAATCTAGGTAGATGATATCAACCTTCCCATTGTGATCAAGGATGCTTGTCCATCTGTCCACCTCAGTCAGCAGGTTGGTAATACAAGAGTAACCCTTCCTGAAACCATGCTGTTGGGGTGAGAAGAAGTTTAAGGATAGTAAATAGTCATTTAAACCATCTCATATCAGGGACTCCATGATTTTTGAAGGTATTAAGGGAAGAGCCACCGGTCGGTAACTTGAAAGTTCGCTGCGTCGACCTCCTTTGAGAATTGGTGTGATGTGAGCCAGCCTCCAATATTCCGGTAGTTTTCCTCGACTTAGCGAGTGTCAGCACATCACGCTAAGCGGCGTTGCCAAGATTGAGGCTTCTTCCCTCAGTATGGCGGAATGGACCATGTCCGGGCCAGGAGAAGTGTCTAGTCCTAAGTTCTGAAGTTTCCGGAACACCAAGTCAGCGCTTAGGTTCACTCCGGAAAGTCCTATGGAATTGCAAACGAAACTGCCAACAGTAAAGTTAATGTCGGTCGGTTGAAATGTCTGGGAGTAATGTTCAGCCAGAAGGTTAGCGGCGTCGCCATCGTTGTTGGTCGGGCCGTTAAGACTTACCAGTTGGGAAACTCCAGTTTCGGCTTGACGAAGAGAGGCTGCATAACGGAATAAGCTTTTAGGATTGGAGGCGAATTTGTCCATAAGCTTTGTCTGGTACTGAAGTCTATCTTCTCTCATAGCCTTCGTGCATATATTCCTGATATGTTTGTATTGCTTCAAGATTGGTAAACTCGAAGTTATGAACTTGGTGCACCTCCAATCAAGAACGTATATAAACAGCTACTCCGACCCCAAATCCTGTTTTTCTGTCATTGCGGAACAAAGACATCACAGGTAATGCTAACTCATGGTCCGAGATTTGAGAAGAGATCCAGGTTTCAGATATTCCTATCAGATCGGCCTTATTAGCATTGCTAAGTTCATGTAGTTCATCCAATTTATTTGGTAGACTTGCGGCGTTCATATGTAAGCAGTTAATGCTTTCAATTTGGAACGCGTGAGCTTCGTCCTGTTTGTTTGTATGAGCCTTACGTGAATGGACAGGTAGCCCACCTATATGAGGTTTGCCGAGGTGGTAGGCCCTGTCCTTTACACGTTCTTTTTATCGTATAGACAGTCCACAAGTGGAATGATCAGCTCCAACTTGCCTTTGTATTTGGTCCTAGCTTCGTATGGCCTATCTGGGTGCGTGTGGATTCCAGGTGGCAGTCGACGTCTGTTTGCACTTAATGCTTCCAGAGTTGCTGCCGCCAAATGGGAAGATGGGAAGGTTGTCTTCATTAGACAGGGTCTAGAATCACCATCCTTCTTGGCTTGTCTCGTCACATGTTGAGTCAGTATGTTTTTGAGCCTCAAGGACTGTTTGATGAATTTTCATTCCCTGATGTCAGAGTTTGTTTGAGTAGGGTCAGTATTTTCCGGTATACCTTGCACGATTATATTCCTCCCGCGGAAAAACTGATCGCGAGTTTCTTTCAAATATTCCGGATGAGATTGCGCTCAGAATACGGTGTGTCAGACAGTATTCTTACATTCCCATTTGAGTTCAGTAAATGACTCGCTAGTAAGACATCCTCTACGTCAGTAGCATTCTTAAGTGTTACACCAGGTAGCCTCGGGTGATTCTGATGCTTAGATTCCTTTCCCCGAGTGAGCCGGTGACTGTCAAAGGCTTTATTCTTGGAAGTCCAAGTTTCTTGTTCAATTCTCCCCAGAGCATCCTATCATTTTTGTCCTGCAAACTGAGAGGAAGGTCAGGGTTGTCTTTGAAGTTCATGACTATGAGAGAGTCATCACGAACCATTATTGCCGTCCCAGGTTTTCCGGTGTGTTCAGGTTTAGCACCTTGTTGTTTGGGGGTCAAAGCACTTTTATGAATCCTTGGCTCTTTGATGACCGGACGGACAATCTTGGGGGTAGACTGTGCGACCAGATCACCAGTTGACTTCCGTTCAACAGCTGGGATGTTCAACTTAGACTGTGACGCCTGGACCTTTTTAACTCTTTTTACATGGGTCCGATCACCTACAGAGTTTTTAGGAGCCACTGTCGCGTTCAAGGACCTTGAGCTGTGAGACCTGAGTTTGATGAGGGAGTCGAGTAATCATGGTGCTGAGTTTCAGCGTGTCATTATTAAGGCTGTTGCATGCTCCGTCGTTGGTAGACCTGTCGACATCCCTGTTCTGGTTTTCAATGAGCTCTCTTGTTTGTCTACCCATTTTTTGACTGTTTTCCCAAGTTCGCCGACAACTTGCTCTGCAGACCTGTCAGTAGGACAATGATATTACTCAGCAAGACTGCAGCATCCGTGCTGCACGTAACACATTCACACTTACAATCCGACTTGTTGAGTCTGTCGTAAGCAGTTGCTGTGATATCTGTGCACGCTTCGTGGAACCAACCTTTGCAGTTGTCGCACTGCATGCCAGATGTAACAGCAAAACGGCATCCAGGTCGTTCGCATGAATTTTTCATGACTGTATTGACGTAAACTGTGTTGTAGATGCTAGCAAAAGCCTAAGACCGTAAAAAATACACTAAAAAACACACTGAAAACGGACAAAAATGGATAAAACGGATGAGATAAACTGAACTAGTTTTTACGTGAAAAACTGAAAAAAACCGAATAGTAAGCTGAGGCAGAACCACAGTTAACTATTAAATTGGATGAAACTCAAAAAAGTAATCTACGGAACGTATAGTTCAAGATGGATTCTTCTGGTCAGAAATGGTACTTCTGTTGCGTAAGAACACAGCAAAAGTTTGATAAATACAAAACACGTTAGGACTAAACGTTCTGTTCGAAAAGCGCGGTACTCGGTTCAAGCATACTCGATTATATGAAGTTAGAGTAATTTGATAAGCCTGCTATATTTCCTATCAAAGTATATTAAAATGACTTATTAAATGTTTGTTTGATTTGGTTCATAGAAATGTGTATTGATTAATTACTTTTCGGAATTATTGTTTTACCTTATCGTTTGATACGGTTTGATTTTGAGGCAAATACTCAAACGTTTCATAAGTTACTGTTGCTCCCTAGAATGGTGAGTAGAGATGATAGCTCTTATTATTTTATTATAGAAGAAAGAAAAGAAAGACTTGCTGTGTGGAATACTTGTGGTCGTAGGTGCATTTTGTCTTCACTTCAGTTGTGGACATTTTTATACTGTGTGTAAGTTTAAGATTATCGTCACTATTTCCTTGTTAGCAAACATGGCAACATACATAATGTCATACATAGCAGCAAGAGTTGACAATAACATCAGTGATAGCTCAGCTGTATGGTTATCTGCACTTGGTCTTGGCTGTCAAGGTCTGGCTATGCCAATAGGTGGGTTTATGGGAAGGAAATTCGGACCTAAATCAACAATGATTGCGACGTTGATTCTCGGGAGGTAACATTTTCACATTTTCAACACTTTCTTGTTTTACGTAAACTTTTGTAAAGCATTTTTTGCGTTGTTTTGCTTCCAGTGAGGAAATATATGTTACTAGTTTTTTTCGGAGCACGTTTAGATTAACGTAAACTCAACTTTAAAAAAGAGTTAGTAAGAAATCTATTTTTTTTTCTCAAGTGATTTACGTCAAATTTGTCTCAAAGTGCTCAAGCGTGTTCACTGAATGTTTTCAATCTCAATGCAGAATGTTGCATAATTATCATTTTTCATTGAAAGTGACGGTTTCTGTAGTATGACTTATACATATCTGATGAGTAGAAATCTTAAAGAGACAAAAATCTGAAGTCACTTAAAAGTTCTGAAACGTTTATTTGACAAAACCAGATAGTTTTAACTCCAAGGAACATATATCAGATCTCCATAAATAATTACATGTCTGGACGTTTCAAACTTAACCTGAACTACTCAGTAGACTGATATTAGATTTTATTACGTTATGCCTCTAGGCAATAAAGCTGTTTATCTTCGTATACAGCCGTTTTTATCAAACGATAATAACATCCAGATGAAATTGTTGGCTCAACCTTTACTCCCGGTCTGTAGGTTGATAATTAGACATTCAGTTAGTCGTGCTCAACGTAGAACCTGACGCATGTTTGCACTATTTCAAGTAGTCACTCTTAATTGGCGCGTTGGGAGGTTGTCCAGACAAATCTTAGAGTAATAACAGTAGTAATAACCGATCAAACTTTCAGAAAGTTATTTTAGGCCTTGACTTTGGAGAGTATTTGTATCTATTTTTTGAAACATTATTATTCATTCCATCATTGCCTATTCTAAATTTGTAGAAGATTATTTTAGTTGTTATAATATGTATACGTTGAAGCACACCGAAACTTTACTGCATATCAATTATGGCACTTTATATTTTTGTTATTTGTTTAGTGGAAGCATTCTGTTAACATATATTGTTGTACAGAAAACGTTTATTGGTGTAGTTTTTACTGTTGGGATAATGTTTGGACTTTCAATGGGGATCGGTTATTCCGTCGCAATAGCTTGTGCAGTCTCTGTAAGCATGAATGTATTGATGGGTCCTAAATATATAGCTCTTAATTTGTTTTGAATTTGTGCCATTCTTAATCGAATGTAAATATAATGCTTTCTTTTCATCGTCAAGTGTGCTTAGCTCATTATTTTATATACAGCTAAACAATGAATTATCAAGTTGACATTTTATAACTTCGGTTTGGGATTCGTATTACGGATATGTCTCTGTCAATACTTGATTTATCGTCACTCTGTCTATAGAGCATTATTTGATTGCCATTTATACAGCGTTTTGAATTTGGGTTTGAGGAAATTCTGTAACTTCTCAGAACTTGTTAGCGTGCCAAAATGTTTAACTCTTCATGCTAATTTAGTTTCTAATAATTAAACCAAAGGATTACAACAACAATTTACGTGAATGAACACTTGAATTGTAATCGAATTGAGCAATTATAATTGGAATCAGTGCTGGGGTACATCTCTAGAGCTCGAAGTTTTTAATATTGAAAACATCTTAAATAACTTGTTTTCGGCACTTATCAGTACAGTTTTAATCAAAAAATCTAAGTGGTTAACTAATTAGTTTGTAAATATTTTTTATTGCTTTCGGAACAGTCTCAGATTAGTTATATATCTAGATGTCATCATTTCTACATATATAAACATGAAACACTAAAAATCGTAGGAATCTTTTGAAAAAACAAACTTCGTACCAGTGTAAGTGTAAACGTTTTTGAAATAGCATAACAAGTTTCAAGAAACTGAAGACACTATACATTCTGTGTAGTTCAATGATCAAACATCATGACTGACTAAACAAGAAGTCATTATTTTGTGTCCACATCCTTTAGATTCTAAATGCATATTCAGGAATAACAAAGAATAGATACTTCTAATTATTATTTGAAAGCTGGACGATATTTTATGTATATGTTTCAAATGGTCCTAGTTATCTCAACTACTAAGATTGGTTATATTTCTTTCACAATTTTGGTAACAAATTTTTCAAAAATGAGCAGGTATGTGTAAAAGTATTGGTTTAATGTGTACCTGCATCCAGATGACGAGTTTCAAATGGGACGAAATGCTCGTCCTGGATTTTAATACTAGCCACATCGTTTATAAAAGCTTGTGACTTGAAACAATATCGAGGCAGTCCGCACAATATTCACATATGTCAACAAGAGATTGTTCAATTGCAGTTCTAAATAACAATGGGAAGATACAAGCAAACAATACCAAAAGAATTTTATGTGTCTAGTTTGAAGACTTTACAGTGACCTGGAGTTCTTTATGTCTAAACAAATTTGTCACTATAAACAAATCATTTGTAGCTCTATATTTCTTCAATGCATAAAATATTGTGTGTACTCAAAGCCGATTCCAAAGTATGAAGTTAAGCTCTACGTTCTACTTAGTTTGTTTGAAAGTGGAAACACTAAGGTTACAATGTAATTTTGATCACCATAATGTATATATTTTTTAATTTTTAGTTTATTCGTGCTTATCGTCGAAACATTTTTTGGTTTTTTATCCTTAGTGGTTTCCTGGAAGAAGAGGATTAATTGTTGGTATAATTGTTGGAGGGTTTGGATTGGGCTCCCTAATTTTCACACCAATTCAAACTGCATATATCAACCCATCTAACCTAAAGGTGGATAGTCAGACAAGGTAAAGAAATTGTTAACACTTAGCATTGTGAAGAAAAGTGACTGTTGCAACTTTTAGTTTTTATTTAGTACATTCTAGTCATTGTTCGTTTAGTAACAAAGTTTTCTCAGAAAGTTATAGGTCAAAATAATAATGTTTAATCAGTTATTAACGCATCTATATTGTCAATCTAGTCTGCTCGCTGCACTAAGTAAAATGATATTTTATGAATAAAAAGTTGTTTCGGATTTGTAATCGTTAAAAGCCTAATTGTCTATTATCTCTCCTTCGTAATATAAAAATGACTCTTTAAAAGTAACGTTATTTACCATTTGACTTGAGTTTGTCGTTTTCCCGGCAGATACCATTCCATTAAAGCCATCAGTATTATTTTACACAATAAAGACTATCTGAAAACTTTGAATCTTCTGTACAACAGCAAACGTGATTTTCTATTTTACTTTTTTCAAATAACTTCTGGTTATCTAAAAATGTTTCGTTGCTCTGAAAAACATTTTCCATGAAAACGAGTCTTATATAACTAGTTAACCGGCGTTAATATAAAATAGTCATTGTGATGAGGAAATGTAGTGAAAAGTAAATAAAACGTCGAAACTAGGACATTTTTAACTGTTTCCACGTCAAGTAAGTAGAGAAATACCATAGAAAGGTAGTCAGTGAATATAAATCAATTCTTTATAAAGTTTATATAATCAGCCAGAGTTGTAAAACGTTTAATAATAACCACCAGAAATATTTCGGAACAGACGTTCACATTTTAATTCGTAATACTCAGGTTGCTAACTGGTAAACATGATGAGGTATCATAAGCTACTGAGTAAGGATATGCTGTCAGTTTTAACCATGTTGCATTACACATTTCATTGTATTATTATATTAAACTGTAGAAGTGTTATCTAAGCGTAAGTTTTTCAGATTTGGTGATCATTTATGAATGTAAGCGAGTGTTTATTTTTCTGCGAAGCACTTTATTATTGTATTGACACAAATGATTTGCATATGGTGTAAAGTTTCCTGCAACTATCGAGCGGACTAATACGACTACCATAAAGTTTCAACCCCCACAAGCAGGCTAGAAACGCATTTTAACTTCACTATGTCACCCATATTTACAGCCTTCTTTCAAGGGGCTAAAATAATCCTGAAAATTTTTCTATTACATCGTAAAATGCGTTTTAATAATTAGACCTTTTAATTTCCGAGATATATTTTGAAAGAAAGAGTACTTATCTATTTATTTATTACTAGTGCTTATCTAAACGAAAGTGTTAAATTATAATTTTCATCTTTTTAGGCGTTTCACTGATCCAGAGCTTCTTGATAGAGTCCCAAATGTTTTCTTGGTAATGGGTTCAATATTAGCAGCATTGCAGTTAGTGGCATGCATACTTGTCCGCATGAAACCAATCTCAAAAGAAGTAAGTTTCTTGACTGATTTGCAAAAAATAGCAATTGAATTATTATGCTTATAAATACACTTTTTAAATGAAAATTTTAATTGGATAATGTATTATAAAAAAGTTATTCGAAGAAGCATATTGACTTACTGATTATGCCTAGTTTATTGTGTATGGTCATTTTTTTACGTAAGCTATTTTAATCACGTATTCCCCACTTGTCATAAGTAATTGTGTCGTTCTTTTAAATCCTTTAAACATTTGTACTAGCCATTTTCTGATGCATCACAATCTACGGTAGTTTATGCCTGTCGAGAAATGCTACATTCTCCGAATAACTATGCATTTAGTTACAGTGTATTAAGTGAATTCGTAACAGTGATTTTATGATATCACACTACATGGCCATAGACATTTTACTTCTTTATTTCATTTACAATAATTGATGAAGCTGATGAAAACTGGTTAAGCTAATCATGTCGATGCAGATAAAGAGTTTAAGCTGCACGCGCTTGTGATTTCCGATCTGCAAAAAATAATCATCAAGTGTTACTACGTCCTCAATATATGATTATTTAGGTTTGGTGCTAAACGTGAGAATATTGAGCTTCCGAATGCATGTAATAAATTACATTTTTCGATTGGTTCTTCAGGAATGATGGACATTATTTGAGTAAACTTTTGAAAAATGTTCGTGCCGAAAATATGTAATCAGTTTTCAGTGAACAAAAGTTTCTTGTCTGCGAAACCTGGAGTGGACAATCCTAACTCTCTGCCTTTATGCCTAATCCTGGTAATGCAGTTAAGGGTTTTTTCGATTCCTTATAGTAATAAACATACAGGACAGAGGAGTCTCTCGGCAAATCTTCGGAATAGGAAATCAAAAGTTGTTAAACTCAAGATATTAAACTCATAACCCACTTCATTATACTGTGGATAATATTGTTGGAAATACTCTGTTATATTACTCGTGTAGAAGTACCTTTCTATCATGGTATCAGGTCAAAGTTATGAAAATGTTAATTATCAAAGTTAATTCTGTCAACGTTCACAATATATTATATCTTAGAAATACATTCCAATATTAACAGAGCATACTACAATACATATACAAAGAGAGAAAATACTTGAGTGGAATGAACTAGAAGGTTCACTAGATCTTGAACACAATATCCTGAGGTAAAAATGTTCCTGTCTAATTTACGAACTTGTATACAACTTCTTAAATGGGTACATTTCCGTTGTGCATGTTTGAGCGCTAACACGATCCTTTACTACAGCTTTGTTTCTTTACATCTTGAAGTTTTAACCTCTGTTGTAAGAAGTATTTGAGAGCTGGGGAGACATCTACGCTTTAAAATCTTGGACACTCATTTCTAATGTTATTTTTGTAAACAGACCATTCAACCTCAATTAAATTATTCGACACAAAACCTGAGGAAATCGCCGAACTATGGAGCTTTGTTAACCACTAGCAATTCTTTCACTTATGGAATGGAATTTGTTCTAGGTTGTCGACAACTGAACTGAGACTTCGTCACTTCTTTGTACCGAAAGTGTAGCTTTTCCTGGAAAACCGGGACGTGGGATATTGAGTACTTGATCTCATACCTCACTGTCACAAACCCTGTAAAGCAGCATACTTGTCACTACTTTTTTCATCACAGCTACAGTTTTAATAAATTAACTTGGATTCTATGGAGGGATTTCTGATGTTGGTTTAATACTTGCCCATATTTCCAGACATTGTTCAAGACGATAGTTATTGATTACAAACAAATAAGGGTTTCTTGAAAATGTCATAGATATCAAATTATTTTATGTGAAGGTTCATGGCTAAGATGAGCGATCATTTGGAACTGTTTAAGGATTGCCGTCAACTTTGAGTTGTGTATTGTGTTTGATTATAACGATGATAAGTTATTAATCTTATATAGTTTAGTTTATTATAATATAAAATGTTTTTAAATAATAATGACTCTTCAGAACAGGGTTAGTAAGTCTTAATCATTAACTTAATATTAAACACTATAAAGGAAAAAAACGTTAAAGCTAGTCTATTTCTTCCGAACATTTGGGGGTCGATGTCTAACCTAATAGATTTTATGTGGTGTTCATAATAATCACATATGAACATGTTCAGATCCTCAAAAATTAAATGCATCAAAAAATAGATGGCAATAATGTTAGTGGTTTAACAGTTACTTCATATATAATTCTGTTTTCATAAATATGGAGTAAGGTAGCTAAGATAATGATGGGTATATGTTTTGTCATATTTTAGACTTCTAGCCTCATGGTTGCCTGTAATATCAACCGGAAAATACATTTAGTGAAATTACGGTAGTATATTAGTTGTTCTATGAAAGTTGTAAATTTTTAAGCGACATCAATGAATAAATTTGCTAGTGCGTCTAACCTGTGTGAAAAAGTGGCAAATCATGAGTAATCTATTACATAAGTCTGATAAATTACGTTAAAATATATATTAAATGACTTGTTCTTTAAGGACAAAGCTAAGTACCGTTTCAGCTTTATTTAAATGATTTCAGATACAAGTTTTCTAAAACATTGTTTTCTTGATAATGATCCCGGTTTATGCATATTTCATAAAATAAACTTTCATAACCAATAGGTTATACTTAATATAATATACAACACATTCATGCGTATGGATATAATAGTTCCCGTGGCTTAGAGCGTTAATGTTAAATGGTCATCTAACAATTTACGGTATTTTTTCTGGTTTTAGGAACATGAGGACGGAAATGAAGAAGAAGAAGAAGAAGGATTAGAACGTGCAAGAATTCAAACTAGTCCATCTACAGATTCAAAAAAGAAGAAACTAGTAAATGGTGATTCAAAAGTAAGATTATCAATGACAAATTAAATGTATGTAAGATCAGTTAACCCTTTGCTTTTAATAAAATTATTTTTTAATGATATGTATAAACGAGTGTAACATGGTATGTTTGAGTTTATCAACCGAAATAATCCCTGATATATATCACACGTACATAGTTACGTCTTTGAGGGAAACGTGCGTAATGTTATTACTCAACTAAATAAAAGTTATCAATAAGACTAAATATACCATAATTATGCATAAATGAACTGCCTAAAAGCTTCAACAGTATAAAATGTGTGGCAGAAATATCTGGTTCACCTGCCTGATAATCCTTTACACTTATACTAACAAAAACTTCAATCACAACCTGTGATGAAGTAGTAAACAGGATATGCAAATAAAATACTATCAATAATACGAGTGAACATTCGAAAATATTGTAAAAGCATGTAGTTTTGTATTTTCGTACTTAAAAGATTTGATTGATCAATTGTAAAGATCACAGTGAATAATGATTACAGTTGTAGATGCAAAGTGTCGACTTATATATATATATATATATATAAGTCGAATCTTTGCATAGTATAATTCTATAATATAATAAATGAATTAAATTCCTTAGTCTGGTAATCATGATCATAATATGGACTCTTTGTATGTTTGGTTGAAAAATCAACTTCATATCATTGAGATGACAAGAATGACAAATGTCAAGTCATACTATGAAACATGTCTGAACTCTTGAATAATGGAGTTCATTAATCATTTACAGTCATCACAAACTCGTTATACACCAAAAAAAATGAAACGTTTCATAATCAGATCAGTTAAGACACAATATTGAATTCATTGATTTATCTAAATGCTACAATGACATTGATTTTTTTAAAAAGCTAATGCCATTTTAATTTTGATGTTTTGAAAAACGCTAAACTTTAAAACGTTTAGAAAAATAGTTATTCATCGTTGTCCAGTTACCTTGGATTGTTTAGTTTCGTCGTTAAAATGAATTTGTCTTATAACAACTTATCAATTACTTACTCGCTAGTAAATTCAACAAATTCATGACCATTGAACTGTTTGTTCATGTTTTCTCTGTTTTGATTTACTAACTACATTATCTGAGGACGTTTTATTGTTAACATTTATTGTTTTTGATATAATTCTTCTAAACAGTCAAAATTACACGAATCCTAAAAATATGTAGATAAGTGTTTATTGTTTTTCCATATATTCCTGTGTTTTTCTTCCGAAACCACAGGTAAACAATGGTTGTTAATGTACTAATAATTTGATTTCCTTTGCTATGTTTTCTTATTAGTTAAATCGTAACACTGTGGTGGAAGTAAACGTTAAATCTGGAAAGCTATTACGTCATATTGACTACTATCTTTTATTTTTTATGATGCTTCTTAACTGTTTTCCAATATCTGTTCTTACAAGTTCATTAAAGGTGAGTGGTTGATTATCTGAAACTGTACATTAAACCACAACTCAACAAGACATTATTTTGTAACATCTATCACGGACTAATTTTAGCTAGACTACCATCGGAGATTAGGGAGCATTTGTTTATTATTTGGTAGTAATATAAGACTCATCAGCAGTTCACACCCACGATTATATGAATAGAACCTGAGAGCTTTAGGGCTAATGGATCAGGGGTCATTTTCAGACATGTGAGTTGGCATCTAAGCCTCTACATTAAAAAAATAATAAATATCATTATTTAGGTGTGAGAGTATACCAAATATGCTAGTGTTAATGTGAATATTTAAAACAATATTTATGCTAAGTTTAACTATTTTAATTTCACTTGCTTTACTCTCTTGATTAAATTTAGATCTTTGGACAAACGCATATAAGTGACGATAGGTTTTTGTCAACTATAACAGCTGTTACTTCTCTTTTCAACTGTGGTGGACGTGTAGTCTGGGGTGCTGTCGTGGATCGTTTTTCTTTCAAGGTAATTTTAAACTTCATAACTTATCCGTATGAAAACAACTTTTGATGGCTTTTCTTCCTGATTAGCTTCCAAAGTGATAAAATTACGTTTAGTAACTTTATATTTTGTTAACAATTCTTTCATGAAAAAGAAAAAGAAAATGATTAGGAGCGTAATTTCAGTTTTATTCTAGACAAGCGCGTATTCAAAATTTGCTGTTACTTAGGAAATAGTTTACTCTTTTTTGATGATTAATAAATTCCATCTAAGCATATACTCTATAAATTTGTTAGGAATTTCGATTTCAAGCGTATGACATATATCTCTATATCCAAGCAAAATTTAATGAAAAATTAAATACAGCTCAATTAAACACTCAGATACAGATAGGTCTTTTTATAGCGATAATATATATATTTCCGAAAAATGATTTTAAAATATATGATGTTATGTAAGTCTGTTTGCTGATCCAATGATGTCAGCTGAACAATCACTAACAATTGATGAAATTTACATAAACTGACGGCCTTAAGATCGTCGTTAACACAAGCGAATACTGAATAAATTATTTTGATTATAAATAAAATGACTTTTAATTGTGAATGGGCTAAAATACTAGTTAAATATACTAAGAACATTGCTATTAGAACTACCTTAATTATGTTGATTTGTAAATTTTAGATACCAATCTGCATACAACTGTGTGTATGGAGTGTGTTATTATTTACATTTCCTGTTATTGCATATGTAACGGGAGTCGCATTGAAAGTCTTATATGTTATATGGGCATGTGCCTTATTTTTCTTCTTGTCTGGTGTTTTTTCCATGATGCCAGCTGCAACAGGGACTATATTTGGTCCAGTAAATTTAGCTGTCAACTATGGAATGGTTTATCTCGGATTTGTAAGTTTAATTAATCAATAGTTAGCCTATTTAATAATCATTAAGTTAAAATACTACACCTTTTGTTTTTAATTATTTGTAAAGACATTTCATCATTTTGGTCAACCTCGAACTGTAAAACTAAACAGTAATACTATTAGGTTTTGCCGATACATGATGGCATAACATTAATGTGGATATGTATTACCTACAACAGTGTGTGTTAACAATGTAAAGTGATTTTACAAAAAAAAGTGAATAACATTGGTCATGTATCTAATAAACTGCACTGGGTATTATTAAATTGCTAACCAAACACAAAGTTGAGAACGCCCCAGATAAACGTTCAAATATATTAATAGAAAGTCTTTCTAAGACTTATGACTAGTGCATTGACTCCAAACTTAAATGTGGTTATCGAGACATTATTTTGAGGTAAAATAATTTGTAAGAACCGACTGAGATATAACGAGTGAATTTATGCAATTTATGACAACATATTTCATTATTCAAATTGTCATTATACACAATACCTATTAAAAACCTAAGCTCAATTACTACTATTCATGGTTCAAAGTCTGGTCATATCAGATAGATGCAAAGACAGATCATCGGTTTTCAAAAAACTGACAGAATTCTCAAATAAAAGCGATCTCAACCAACCGTAACAGTCGAGATACGTTTGCTATGCGAACGAAAAACCGTACATTCAATGCTTTTATCAATGTTCATTCAATGTTATTATTTCACAAAGCCTACTCAATTTAACCATAAATTGTTTGTGGGTTCTAATACCCATTTATTTTTTTAAACAGAGACCCGTAATAATTTGATTTATAAGGAGATCTGTTAACAAAAATTCATCTTAAAAGACAATTAAATTACCATTTATTTATGATCCGTTTGTTTTTATGACATTTTGGTGTTTCAAACAAGTCATTTGGATCAGTACTTTCTCTTGTGGTGAGTCTTTTCTGGAAAGCATCTCCTGAAATCTACTTTACGTTTCTGGATGTGTATGCTTAGTTAGTAAGTGATATATTTTGCAATCATAGAAATGTCAAATTTTAAACTTCATGATAGAAATGCTCAACGAAGCTCAAATAATTAAACTGATCAATAAATCCTCCAAAATTTTGAGTGTTGAGATTTATATAATCAGATCATTTTGGGCCACAAGGTGATGTCAGATGGAGAATCATCATAAAATCAGGTTGCCTTAGATGTCTAAAACCAGATTGCGGATATTTAACAGTGCGGCCCTTTAACCTTATGCTTCATTAACCCTGAGTCTTATTATTTATCAGTAGTGGTCCAGAATATCGTAATGTCAACAGAATCTGGTGATGACGATTTCATTTCCGTGAGTAGTTCATACTGTATATCTGTTGGATTAGGATTATCAACTAAATGTTAAATGTTCGGGCGAATAAAAGAAATAAAAAGAACGAATAAATATAATGCTGAATTTGGGAACAAGTTATCTACATGTTTGGTCGCCGAAAGATGACAATTACCGTTTCGTCAAATGAGACCCTACTTCACGGTTAGTATTTCACAATCCAACAACAATGAACAATCAATAATGAGTTAGTGATTAATAATAATAATAATAATAATAATAATAATAATAATAATAATAATAATAATAATAATAATAATAATAATAAGATAAGGAAATATGTAACTCATCGACAACTGTCAGACTATCTACATGTTCTGACAGGCAGACAACCAATCACTATCATCCTCGCCCACACATCAATTCTGTCTGCCCAGACAGACATGTAGATAGTCTGACAGGTGTCAGATGAGCTATGTATCCCCCCTATCCCTACTATTATGACTCACTTATTATTGGTTGTTCATTGTTGTTGGATTGTGCCGGGTTTTTGATGTGGAAATATATTTACGTCGTGGTCAGACTAACCACATGTCCTTGATCTGAGTTGTTTTGAAGTCCTGTGGAATAGACAATGGGAGAAGATAATGTAAAAGTGGCTCTGCAACAGTTTTTAACTTCTTATAGAATTACACTGAGTCCAAACTGTCAAGACGAGAAATCACCAGCCGAAACAATGTTTGGCCGACTTATTAGGACATTTTTTGATATTTTGAACCCTAAAGAAAGAATGAGGGGACTACAAAAAAATGAGGGGAATTGCTCGAGTACTCGAGAATTCAAAGCAGATGCCTCAGTCTGTGCATGTGATATCCGGCCTGACGATCCACCACCACAGAGTGAAATGAGGAAAAATGGGCTGAAATCAGAAGTTAGACGAAGATCACCCAGGGAACGAAAACAAACGGAATTTCTTCAAATAAATCCAAAACTGAAGTCATACGATCAAAACTACGTTGTTTAATACATGAACAAGCCTGGTGTAGTCACGACACTTACGTGATTATTAAATTTAAATGTTTATATGTGTCTGTATTCACTCAACAATCTACTCAAGGTCGATGTAACTATTTCTAACCGACAAAACAATATCTAGTTTTCCTCGTGATGCGAAGTGGTCATGTTAGGATTCTAATTTATCATCACATGCGTATGCATGCTTGTAGATATTTATGTTAGAAAAGAAAACAAATATTTTTTACCCGGTCTTATATGTCAATGGCATACAAAAAATCACCTGTCGACTTTAATGCGTATACTTAAGTGATAAGGCACCTACGTAGTCGGTTTGCTATAAAGCCATATGAAGACGTGAGAATAATTGGTAGTAAATATATTTTCTGTTTCCAGTATTTTCGAATCAAAATAAGTGTTTTGAGAATTCAACTGGCAAAAGAAACTGCCGAGAAGTCCCATACTAGAGCGGAACGTACGTCCATAGTCAATAGCGGAATTAAATAAGTCAAATGACGAAAATGGACTTTTGAATACATATATTTTGTATATGCAGCGAATAGAATAGAGAGAAGCGAAACGACGCTCAGTGGAGATGGTGGGTAAGCCAACCTCCCTTTAGTCAAGCCTTAATCAATATTTATAGGCACGCAAAAATAAGTTACAGACATGTGATGAGTAATGGGATTAAGAAGTGTACGCACACTTACGCGCTCATATAAAAACAGTCAAGATTGATAAGCGAATGATTAACAAGGTCAGAACGTGACTCGAGTAGAATGAACAGATTGAGCTGTCCGAAAGCTAGAATAAGGTATATGGGCTTAACATAATAACCGACACTACAAAGCTCTTAAAGTAAACTTGTTAATTAGTTGTAAAAGAGGTACACTATGCGAACTCAGAAATATAACGCAGTTGAATTACTATAGTTCTTTAGTTTCAGTCACATTTCATCAATAAATTTCGCATTTAACTAGGTAATGATACAAATTGAATCAATAAATCGCTCAAATCAATCGAATGCTTTAGAAATCAGTGATTTTAGATAGCAACTACTTTTGTTACATAATAACGATTCAGTTCCATTGATTGTCACTTCATTTTCATCATAGCACCACGTATTAAATTTAACTAGTGCAAAACCATCCAACCTTTGGATCCTTTTAATTTTAGAGAACTATAGGTTGACTCAGATAGAAGGCATCACTGAGGATTTGATAAATGTTTTCTACGAATTAGAATGTTGAGCCTCATTTCTTTGAAAACCGTTAACATTATAACCTTAGCAATATCACATGTGATCCTTACTTTAACCGACAGGATCTTTATCAAAATTACTGATCTCTTAACAATGTGAAGTTATAATGTTTTGAATTATTTGAATTGTAGAATGAACTAGGAATCTCAGAATTAACGCAATTAAATTAAGAAGTAAGACACAAGCACAAGCGAATGTATTGTATTTGGAATTCGAAATCGAGAATTCAACAACTACAAAGGTATTATTAGTTCGTTCAAACACCACATCCGCCACAGCTTAAATAGAAGTATAAGTGTTTGTAATCGGTTGTACGTCTTATTGTTAAGTTCATCCTGAGTCTGTCCGACATTGTATAAGATAAAAACTTTGTAGTATCTAGAAAGTGCTCATTAGTATTGGAATTAACAAACGAAATCGGAACAGACTCACCTGGAATTGTATACAATCAGCATGTCGGTTTTGTAATGAAATCATTAATATCTAGAATTCGAACCATAGATTTTTCAACACTATCCTCCCCCACGAAATAATGTTGGATCTTTATATCCCCAAATTATGAATAATGTAGCTTCATTTAAAACATATTTCTCACATTGTTTAGGGTAAACATTAGAACTGTTTTTGTGATAAGAGTAAACAGCAGTTGATATGAAATCATCCAAAATGTAATAAAACTCGAGGTCACTTAGTACTCGTGCTTCGCATTGGGCAGGTTTTTCACAAGGATCAAATACATTATGAGGATAGGTAATATATGATATGACATCAGGATTTGATTCTTCTGAAATATTCTCATGAAATTCATCAGGACTGTCATTGCAGAGCGTAGGATCGTTAGAAAAATCAGCATCTATCCAAACCACATCAGGTTTCCGATCATGATTAGGTTCATTTAACATATTTTCCTCAGAATTGCAAGTAATTTCATTAGAAATATGTGAATCATTAGGAAAGGTCATACCTGGTACAATAGCATGAGAATTCTGATAAATCGGTTGATTAGGAACTGTTGTCTCACAAGAATTCTGGATTTCATCTAACTCTGAACTGTAATATGACTCTGCACTGTTTTTTGAAATCGTTGATAAAGATAAATGATCATTAGAAACATCCGAATTATTTAAATTTAAATTACAAGATTTAGTACAGCTTGAAGCAAAATGGACAATAGCTTTGCATACTGACTGAATGTGTCCTACCTTACCACATTTAAAACATTCAGCATTACGAAATACACATGAATTGCGAGCATGAAACTTTCCACATGATAAACATTTACCAAACTTCATCTCACCTTTGTGATTTGCTTTGTAATTCGTCGTTGAAACACCTTTCATATTTACACGAGAATAGGAATCACTGTTAAATGAACGCAAATTTGATTGACCCTGAGATTGTAGTTCATCATGACGACTAAGCAAAGTATCAGAAATCTTCATCGACTGGATATCAAGTTCATTCACTGCTTCGTAGTTAATACACGCAGTCCTAGCATCTTGAAAGGAACAGTTTGGCATTTTTAACAGCTCTCTTTCCAAACTCGGTATGTTAATTCCTGCAATTAATCGATCTCTCAGTTGCACATGAAGTTGATCACCGAAATTACACTTGTCAGCTTGTTTCTGTAATTCAAGGATGAATTCCCGAGCCTTTTGGTCGTTTTGATGAACCAACTTATGAAACTTCGCCCTTTCACGGCATTCAAAACTGGTGCATTTTACATGACTTAATAATAGCTCTTTAAGAGTTGCATAAGAGAGTGAGATAGGTTTTTCTGGATATGCCAAAGTTTTTAATAAGCTGTACGCTTCTCTCCCAATGAATGTGAGGAAGTGTGCCACAATTTTATCACCTTTAACATCTTTCTTGGTCATGCTCCAGATTTCGAACCTTTCCAAGTAATCCTCAAAAGCTTCAGGAGTTGAATGAATATCTAACTTTTCCATTGCAGTCTCCATCGCGACGCCAATATAATGTTTCGAATTATTTGAATTGTAGAATGAACTAGGAATCTCAGAATTAACGCAATTAAATTAAGAAGTAAGACACAAGCACAAGCGAATGTATTGTATTTGGAATTCGAAATCGAGAATTCAACAACTACAAAGGTATTATTAGTTCGTTCAAACACCACAGAAGTATGTAGTTTAACTGAGTATAATAGCGTGTTATCCGAAGCTTTCTTCCAATAATGATTGTAAAGCGTAAAATATTCTTGATTATTAACTGAGCTGAACTCTACTTTCAAAATTGATAATGGGATCATGTGATTCTGTATAATTTTGAAGGAAATAAATACAGTCTCCATTTAAAGTATAGTATCATTAGTGAAACTCTCCATTATTATATTATTCAGCTTCTAGACCTCATGAGATGGTGAGCTTCAATTGTTGCAGTATATGTCTATAAGCATAAATTACGCCATTAACAATTTGCTTTTTTAAAAATGTTTCTTCTTCAAGCAACTTAAACGAAATTAAAAACAATTGAAACAGTAAAACGTAGGATAATAATTTATTACCAGAATGAGTTTTGTGGAGATTTTAGTAAATTTCACAGGTTGAAATAATGAGTCAGTTGAAGCTAGATGACCATTGAAAACCTGGAAGCACTGGACGGCCGTCTCGTCCTCACCAGTGCGCATCCACGAACCCGCCCCCTGCGGGATTCGAACCCAGGACCTACTGGCTTCGCGCGAGCGCCTAACCATTAGACCACTAAGCCGGCACCCGACGGTGTTAATGTCTAAATTCAACCAAT